ATCCGGGGCGGGGGCGGGTTGTCAGGGGCGGGGGTCGCAGGAACAGAGGGCGGCAAGGGCCGGTCGGGGTCCGCAGGGGAGGTGCTTCTTGTGGCCGCGCTGTTGGGGCGGAATAGTTTCTCCCAGCCCTGGCTCCTGGCTAAGGCCTGTCAGCGTCCCCCGTCGCCCCTTACGTTATTCCGGGGGTTCGTGGGCTTGCAGAGAGCCTCTTTCTCTGCAACGGGGAGACAGGTCTCCTTGCCACCTCTCTCTGCGCCCTCGTCTTGCTCGTACCTCCAACACGGCAGCCGCTCAGCTATTTGTGGGGTGTCAGGTCTCTTCCAGGAGAGGACAGAGGTTATTCATGCAAGGGGTTGCAACGGAGAGGACCTTTTCTAAACCGGGCTGATACTTGACTGCGTTTCCTAGCGCTTTAGTGTTTGCCTTTCATGTGCGTCTGGCAGATAAGATTTTCGGCTGAAACAGGGACACTGGGAGCTAATGGGAGTGGTATTGACACACGTTGTGCCTGCCATATCTAAAGGTCGAGCGTGAAGTTTGCCCAAAGCAGCGACCATCTGATTAAAAATGTGTCCTCTTTGACATTATTGCCACCTGTGATTGGTCATTTTCATTTGCAGGCACAGTTCCTCTTTTTTTAAAAAAAAAACAACTAGTAGTCAGTTGTTAGGGTGGATTTGCACATGCGTGTGAGTTTTACAGTGGCAAAATTGTAACAAAATGAGTGGAATTGACCGGTTTGAATCTGTATGACAGTTGGAGGTTTCTTCAAGATGCTGTACTGCACTCTAATTTTGTGTGTGACAGATGTAAAGCTGTGGAGCTGTGTTGTGACTGCTTTGAGAAATGCCTTAGTAAAAATGGCCTTCATTCTACAGCCTGCCTAAACAAAAACCTGAACTACTTAAAAAAAAAATCCAAATCGAACACATTGGTGAAATACTGTCTTCTCCCCTTGAAAACAATCTGTATCTTAAATTGACATACTTTCAATAAATTGAGTGCCCAAAAAAGGCGACTGTACAGATCTGATTTTAAAAGCTGAACATAAGGTACTGATCTGAACATATTTACTAAATGTGTTATGCCAAGGCAGCTTTACCCTACCCCCATGTAAAGGCTTGCTAAGTATAAACACGTAAAACCTCCTTCCTTAATTGGTAGTGAGTGACATGATCTGACTAGTCTTAAATAAACTTCAAGTCCGGACTACTGAATCAAGTTTAAGATGGTTTTGCATGCTGGGAAATATTCCAACCTCAACACGCCCTTTTTGTAGATAACTGACTTTGAAAAGCTATGACCAACTGCGAGGCCAATCCTTAGAGTAAATTTCATTCAAATGTTAGCTAGTATTGCAGGATACCCGAAATGTTGCCTTATCAAGAATGTTTATGCTGTGAAGGACACTCCACTCTTGTGTAAAAATCTGACCAATATTAGTGGATTAATATTGAAGTTTAATAACTTTCCTCAAAAAAGTTTTCTGAAAAGGAAGCTTTTTACCACCTACTATGCAGCATTTATGTTCTGATTTTTTTTTTTTTCTTTTAATATAACCTTTCCTTAGCTTAACTATTTTCAGATAATCTTTGTCTACAAATTACCATGCTCTGTTACTTGCAGGGAACTGGTGAGGCATTGTAAATGTTGATTTTGTAAAGCAGTGTAATTTGTGCCTTAATTGGCCAAAGCATGCTGTTAATTCAGTGTTTGCTGATCACTTTACAGTAACATACTTTGTCCTGGTCTCACTGAATTTAAGCTCAAATAAATCTTGCTGTATGATTTGAAAGCATTTCACTGAATCTGACAGTTCTGAAATAATGTTTCTTTTGATTAATTTTACAGGCAAAAACTAATAATCTTCTGACTCAACCAAATTATTAATACAGAACGCACTAAGGAGATAGTGCAGTGGATAACTTTTTAGGATCACAATGAACATACTATTTGTGACTTTCAGTTTATAGCTGATTGTATAATTTACCTTTCTTGCACAAAAGTCTTTGTTTGGTACTGCAGAATGTTAGAAATAGTCTAGGTTATTTTGTATTTTGAAGTACTTATTAACGTTCATAGAGCAAAGTATGGTTTCCTAGCATGGAGGATGACCAAAGAGAAATAAGTGATGCGGTTGCTGAGGGAAAATTTTGCATATGTGAAGTTTGAAGTTATCTGTTCCTTCAATGTCATGGATAAATTTGCTCCCTTTGCTGCATTCTGCTAGTAAAGCAGGGTAGTTTGTGACTCAATTTCTTGAGTTATCTTCTCTAATGCTGCTAAATACGTACTTTAAAGCATACATTTTTTAAAAGCAAGATTGTCCATCAGCATTTAAAGTGGGAAGGCCTTTTCTGATTTTTAGAATGTGCTTTTGCAACACAAACGGTGATCCTCTAACTGCAACTTAGTAGTTCTCAGACTCCTAGATGTAATGAAATAGGTATGTCCTACTCTGAAACTTGGGCTGTCATCAGAACACTTGGAGAACGTACTTGTAGCAAATACCCTGCTGATGAACTTGAAAAGTAAGTCTGAAGTTCTGGTGACTGGCTTACTCATCGTGTGTAACAGCAGAGTTTGAATTACAGCAGTTGCGTGGAAAACTTGAGATACAAAAAGCCAATAGGAGCTGGAGTTCAACAACAGAGGCGTGCATTCTTGGGAAGTGACATCCTATTTGTAACAACTGAAACTCCATTTTACTGAACTAACAAAACAGAAAGGAATGTGACTGCATTTGAATAGAACTGTAGGAATACTGTTGTGGAAGATATACTCAACTTCGCTCAAGAACAGTTAATTTATATAGCCTTTTAAGATTTTTATTTATGTGGGTATTACCTGCACTTTTGTGCAGGTAGCTCTGCCTTTTGGAGGTTGAAGTAAGGAAACTTGACTTGTGGATACAACTGGCCATGGAACTTGCATTGAAGGCACTCCTGGCATTTCATGTGTTGTGTGTGTCTCCCCCCTCCCCCCCCCCTTTTTTTGAGAGGAAACTTGACTTGTGGATACAACTGGCCATGGAACTTGCATTGAAGGCACTCCTGGCATCATGTGTGTTGTGTGTGTCTCCCCCCTCCCCCCCCCTTTTTTCTTCTTTTATTTCAAAATCATCCTCCTCTTTGGAAGTTAAAGAAGCTGATTTTTGCTTTCACAATAAACTGTTGAGATTGACATTGTATTTGTCCTGTGTTGCCCTACAATGGAACATTGTTTAAGACTTCAGCCTTAGACAGTTAAAAATGTGAAATGTGTATTTAATTGCTGTGCAACAGGATAGATAATGCCTGGCACAGTTCTCTCAATAATTTATGTGCCACCAAACAAGTGCAGTTTATATGCTTCCCTTTAAAGGCCACTAGTTCAATTGCACAATTTCTTGTCTCAAAGTGCTTAAAACCTAGATCAAAGGAGTAATTAAGTATCCTTTAGATGTGATCAAATCGAGTGATAATGATCTATGAATGCAGTATTTTAAAAAAAAAAAAAGCAACATATTTCAAACTTGGATGCCATAAGGAATCACTTTCTACTAGTGTGGAGCATTTACTAAAACAGCTGTTTTGTATGGAATATGATCACAGTACTCAAATTTCCAACGAATAGGGAATGAAAGAGAATGTTGTTAGATAGCTTACTTGGTATATCTTTATATGTTCTTTTGTATACAGATATATTGTGATTAAATAGCCTGTTTATTAAGACAACTAGTTATAACATCAGTCTATTCTTCTTAAAACTTAAGCTTGAGGAACAGAAATTTACCTTTTGATTTAGAAGGTGTAATAGCAACAATTTTTTTTAATACTAACAGCCATGCATTTAATTTGTTGGATTTTTTTTTTATGACCACTTGGCAATCACTTCAATGTTGTTTATTTTGTTAGAGGGTTAGTGCCAATCAGGTGACTTGACCATATGCTTTAGCAATGTGTCAAAAAAACCTATTAGCAAGACTTGACAGTTCAAGACTGTCATGTGGTGATTCACTAAAAAATGTAATTACTTTTTCAAACATTTCTGACTACTTCAGGGTCTGTAGAAGCCTCTCTTCTTTTTTTAATTTTGCCATTGCTTGTGTCTCTTAAGCCTGGTTTCCTTTGAAAGCCAAGCTAATGGGAGATACTAGTTGATTTAATGACCGGACCTTTGGAACCTACCGGTTAGCTTCACCTCTTCCTAATAAAAGAGTAGGTGTCTCAAACTTAACTGCTTCTACAATTTTCATGAAAGTTTGTGGCTAGGTGAAAAGACCCAAACCATTGCCTCTGAAGAAAATGCTGCAGCCTGTTATCTGTCTGGTAGGCCAAAGAACTTCAGATAACCTGCAAACATGTACTGACCAGCCAGATAGCAAGAAGGTAGCTCGGAATGTGCTATGGTGCGAGCTACCTTTTATCTAACAGGTGCTTGCTGAAAATAGGAGAAGCTGTGGGCATTGCAATGGTGAAATCAAAGTATGGAGATCAGGGGTTATCATGGTGAGAAAAAGGAGGTAGACAGAAAAACCATATAGTTGGCAGTGTAGAAAACATGTTTTGCTCGTTCTGTTTTCAGGAGAAGATAGCCAGTCAGAAAACCAGACTTCTGAATATTTCTATCTCATTGCATTACAGTAGATCAGTTAGCAACATCTGAGAGTTGCATTTGTCTTAATGTAGCCTTCACTATAAATTTCTGCTATTGTGGATCTTAGAATATGCTATATAAAACTCGAACATTTTTAATTTGAACTATTACTAGTTAACACACTTATCGCAATGTATAGTAACACATGATTTATTAACTACTCAGAAACTCCTTGAAAGAACCCGTGCCAGGCGAGAGAACCTGCAGAAGAAAATGGCTGAGCGGCCCAAGATGGGAGTGCGACCCACAATGCAGACCAAGAGGGTCAGGGAGCCTTTGTTAGAAACTGGTAACCAGGCTCCTCTTCCTGGTGAAGAAGGTATTTTGCAGCACGTTTAATAAAGATTGTCTTTTGATACAAGTCCCATCTCCTTTTTTCTAAGGGCAAGTGAAAACCCTTAGTGTTTATCTTAAACTAAACGGTGATGGATGCAGTTACCTGACAGCTAGGACTGAATATGGCTAATGTTTAGCTTAATCTGAGAGCAGATGCTCTAAGTAATTAGTAAGCTATTTAAAAATAATTGTATAATGCCAAAGATAGTGCCTTGTGCTTGGTAGAATTTGGGAAGGGCAGTTTTTTGGGAAGCGTATCAGGGTATTCATAAATCATAACTTTATGTGCATTACAGTTTTGTACTGTCTCTGAAAATATTTTAGATTGCTTGAGTACTAATTTGCTTGAATACTGTGACCTGTACAGTGAAACCTGGTACAAAGCCATCACCATCAAAGAGGCTCTGCCCTAATGATGTGGAGACTCAAGCTTCCAGTTCAGAGAACATACAGCCTGTTCCTTCAAGTTCCACAAGCCATCGTTCTCCTGAGATGACTTCAGAGTTGCATGTAGCTGCTTCTAGCAGGGCTTCATTGGTTCAGCCTCTTGAGAAAGGAAAAACAAACAGCAAGTCAGAAACTCCTGCAGCCCTTTCAGTCAAAACACGTATGCAGAAATTGGCAGAACAGCGACGCTGCTGGGATAGTGAAGGTATGTTTCACTTACTAAGCAGTACTGGTGTTTTTCAGTGTTTGCATTGATGATGATGTTTGCTATCAGAAGATAATTTTGTGTGTGTGAATGCTAATGTTTTCATAAAGAATTCTTAGGCAGCACTGGGGAAGGCCTAAAATAATGAAACTGTTGACTACAGCTTAACTTTATACATCTTTTCCCTAGTAGTGTGATGCCTTGCTCATCACAACAGTGATGTAAAACTAGTAAAATGCTCGGTTAAAAATGTGTTCGCTTTGCAATGAGCTTTAATTTAACTTGATTAGTCTCAATGCCTCAGAGCTAGTAGCTTGATTCTCTTGATGGCAAGAACATCTAACTGTTGATAAACTCAATATACAGCAAAATGCAAAAGATGCAAATATATGTCAATATATTTTATTAGCAAAATAAATGTTTTTCTTTTTCCCAGATCCCTCTGAAAGTGTTCCGCTGTCTCCCCTCCAGTCAAAAGATCTGTCTGTTTCTCCACCTAAGCAGACATCTAATGCCCTGGCAAGTGATACCCCTATTGGGAGAAGAGGCCGTTTAGCTAACCTTGCTGCTACAATTGGTTCCTGGGAAGATGACCTAAGTCATCCATCTGCAAAGCAAAACAATGCACAAGAACAGCCTGGCACTACTTGTTTATCCAAATTGTCCACTACAAGTGGAGCATCTGCTAGAATCAATAGTAGCAGTGTAAAGCAGGAAGCCGCATCCTGTTCTCAAAGGCTTGTTGAGGCTTCTATTAATACACCAGCAAACTCAAAGATAGCGGTGAGTGTCTGATTTAGTTACTGATTAAAAATTGATCTGAGTATCGGGGCGACAAATGTTAACTCATAATTGTTTAATCTGAATTTAAAGATTTGGTGTGAGCAATCTTAGTTTATTTATAACTTTTGCTTTATAGCAATCCCACATGCCATTTTTTTAATAGCAGACCTGAAACAGCTTAAAATCCTTCTTATTGAGACTTAAAGCTGAGTGTACTTAAGTCTTGTAAAAGTTCATTTCAAAGTAATTGATTGCTGCTCTTTTGACCATCAGAAGGGGGCTTCTTACAGAGATACTGGGTTTCACTCTGTAACTTCATGTACTTGATTGACTTAAATTGTAAATATTATTGCTGTATGAAAATTCAATGAGAATGCTGTAATTAGTAGTACCAGATACCTATTGTTCAATTTATGCCATTTATGAAATGGCAATATTTGCCATGTGCAGTATTGTTTAGGGAAACGTGGGAAAATACCTCAAGTAGCTGGCAAAAGAACCTGGAATCAAATGTTGAAACAATTTGAAATACTGGGGTGGTGGTGGGAGAATCTACAAAAGGCTCACAACACTTGTTCTCAGCTTTTTCTATTGTTGATGGAATAGGTGTGTTTATGTTATAGTATGCTATGCAGAATGCTTTCATTCTTTTTCCTCTTGAGAGAATAAGAATGTACAGTCTCATTTTAATGTTATTCCTTTTTCCCTTAAGGATCCAAACAATTTTTTAACACAATCCTCAAGGGTCACTGTTCCCTGTTCTAAGGAATCTGAAGTACGACAACCGCTAACAGAGAATCCCTGCAGCCCTCAGAAAACTGAAAAGCGTACACAAACAGCAAAATCAACTTTGCTTCAACCAGTTCAGTCCAAAGAAGGGCCTGTCAAAGGAACACATGTGCAACTTGAACCTAAGGGTAAACCCACACCACCAGGTAAGCTGTTTTTCAGCTTCAATAAATGTTCATTCAAATTAGGCTTATGTGTCCTGTGTTGAAAACTACATATTAGTTAAGAATTTATGGTAACATATCAGATAATGCCTACTTCCTGCTGTAACTTGAGTAAAGTCCTGAAGAGTTCTGTGATAATTATCATAAATTGTACAGCTTCCATTATTTTGCAAGGGTATTTTCTTGGCCATTGTTTTCATAACTCTTGAGAGCAAAAATCAGTCTAACTCTTCTCTCTATGTAAAAATGTATTCTGCTAACATCAGTTAATTGAGACTATTCAAAGCTGCTTTCAAATTGTTGGATACTATGTGTATCCAATCCGTATAAGGTAAAGAGTCTGCATATGTTAGAAGAAATCAAAGCTAAATGCCACATAGACGCTCTAACTTTGCGTAGTGTCTTTCTTTTCAGTGGTAGCATTAATGTCGAAACAAGTGATCATCCCCAGTTTTAAGTTCAACTGCTTGTTGGGTCAGAAACTTGGACTACCAGCTTGAACTCTTCAAAATGATGGCCAGTAGAGCAAGTGTGTGTCTCTAGATATGCTGACAATAAAAGACAAGCTCAGTAAAGTGGAGTGGATGCCAAACAACGTATCTGCCTTATGTACTAGATTGCTCATTTACATGAAAGATGCAAGTGTGGCTGGTTGTAGAGGAAATGTTGAAAAAGCAAACCCGTTTAAATAACTGGTGGATCACACATGGACTTCAGTAAGAGAAGGACATCTATTTGCTCTGACTTGCTGCTTTTATTAACTTCAGTGTTCTGTTACTGTGGTGATTTGCACTTCAGGTTTAGTTTGCATGAAGTATAATGGAGTAAGAGCTGTAAAGGAGACGGCTTAATTGCTTCATTGAGAACCTTCAGCAGGATGCAAAATTGCGGTGATTTCTTTCTGTGTTTTTGAGAGTTTCTTTCAAGGCAAAACAATTGTTCTTGTAGGGGGATCAGGAATTAAGCCCTTCCTGGAACGCTTTGGGGAGCGCTGTCAAGAGCATAGTGCACGGAGTCCTGCTACGAATACTTCAGGGTGCAGAACACCCATTGTTACCCCAAGTACAAGGACAATCCAGGAAAGACTTCTCAAACAAAATGAAAATTCCTCTACTGCCAGTTTAGCGCTTCAGCTTAAGCAGGTATGACTTGCTACATTTATAGCTTGTTGATAAGCTTGGGTAAGATTCTTACTGTTCTGCACCTACCTGAGGAATTTGAAATGTTTTGACATCTTAAAGCTGTCAGCTTTTCCCCCATTCCCCTTTATTTGCTTAGGAACGTGAACGAGAACTTGCATGCCTTCGTGGCCGGTTTGATAGGGGCAATCTGTGGAGTGCAGAGAAAAGTGAAAGTTCGAAGAGAAAACTTCCAGAAGCTAAAATGGTAATGTGTTGCCTCCATGTATCAAAAGATGATAGTCTGTGAATTGCTTTAACATGCTCTGAACACAGGGATAGATGTGCAAACGTAAATAAAAGATTAAAAACCTATGCTTTGTGAATGCCCAAGCTGTGCAAGACTGCTTGTCAAGTGGTTTGTATGATTATTAACAAATTATTAGATTTTTTCCTCCTGCAGAATCAATTAAGGAGACAAGTGCTGCTTTGAGCCAATTGATTTATTTATTTTTTTGATGATAAGTGTGGTATCTTATACTCTATAACTTCAAAAACAAAAGAAAGCTCCTCACACAAACACTCAGTTTAGTATTTAGTACTTCAGCTGAATTTCTTACAAAAATAAATAGGATCCTTCTTGGTATTGGATAGGCAACCTCTTTTTTTGTAGTAGATGTTAAAATGTGTTTGTTTCTGGCAGGTTTTTTAGTCACTTTGAACATTACCTCCCGCATGTACTATGTTTTTATTTTTGCCAGGAAAGCCAATCTCAGGCCAGTCCAAAACATCCGCCTAGTTCAGATGCCAGTGCTTTTGGATCAGCAGAAGACACACCAGCAGGTGACAGGCCAGCGAAGTCTCCCAGCATGGAGTCTTCAGGTAAGAACTGTCACTGCTTGCCTGTGGCTAATACTGGACTGAAGCACTGCCCTTGACGTTCATGAGCAGATAGAGAGGCTAGTAGCACTGACGTATAGAACTAGATTTCTTGTTTGGTTACTGATTTGTCTAAATCTTCTTGTATGATAATAATACTCTGCGCTCCTATACCACTTGAAAGATTGGCAAGGCAGACTGCCTCTTCGTTTCTCAGTGGGTTTACCTATGTTTCATACTTTAATGTATGTTAAGTGTACAGAGTGAATGAGAATTGTCAGTTATAGATTTAATCTACACTGTACCTGAGTATACAATAATCTAATGGGAGGGAACTCTTCCTTTGTCAGTATCCCCTTATGATATTAATTCTTATAGTAGGGGACGTGAAAAGAATTCCAAGATGTTCGTGACATCCTTTCTGGTGCTTAGTGAGTGGAAGAGCCTCCAGCTCTCTGAAAAAAAGAGTGAACTTATTTAACACTTCTTATAGACATTATGGGCAAACAGGCTATCAAATGTGCTTCTAGAAAAACAGGATGATATCCTGCTCTTGGGTTTGGGTGTGGTGGTTTTTATGTGGTGGGTTTTTTGTTTGGTTGTTCTTTTTAAATTTTCCCTTTTTGCTCTTGAGTGGCTGCACTCTACTATGGTTTCAGCATTTTTTTCTTGTGCTATCACTTTTCTGATTGTAAGATAGAAGTCTAGCTGTACAGGTTGTGGAGGGTATGTATTCTAATGCTTTTTTTTTTTTTGACAGCAAGCTAACTAGAATACTTAATCTAGTGGGCTTTTTGTAAGCTGTCAGCTATGTTATCAAACTTCCAAAATTCAATAATTAAAAAAAAATTCAAAGGATAGACATAACCTTCAGTAACTTCTTTTTTTATAAACTTAGATGCTCCTAAATGTGAAGAGACTGATAAACCCAGTCCTCTGAAGATCACTGAGCCAAAGAGCCCTGAAAAAGCAATGTCTGTCTCAAAACTTGAACAACTTGCTGAGAAACCGAAAGGTTTGTACTGAGTAGATGCACTGAGCTATCCGTTGCCACTTGTCCAGCACAGTGTTAATATACTTCAAGTCTGAACAATGAATTCACCATACATCTGCTGACACTCATGTGTGTTTTGTAATGAGGTTTATATAAAACAAATGGGGAAACTTCTTTTATGGTAACCCTTCTCCCTTGACATTCAAGCCTTCAAGGAATATTGAAACACTGATATTAAATTTTATTGGGAAAGAACAGAAATGACTGCTCTACTACGGGACTTGCAGTTAAGGTTAAGACTTGTTTGAACTAAAATGTTGAAACTTGTTTAACAAGTGCATCTTTTTATTCCTTCTCTGTATCAATTATGCAGTATATGTTATAATAGTATATTAAAATAAGGATGGAACTATACTTTAGGGTTCTATATGCATGACTATAATAAAAAGTGCTTTTTAGTCAAGCTTACTTGAAAAGCAAAAATAGTTGGCCTGTTAACATCTTTCTGTTCATTTAATGAGAATGAAGAGTTTAGTCTTGACGCTACTAATATTTTTAAAACATCACCCTTCAGATGAAGTGTACGAAATCGAAATGAGTGTGGATGATGAGATGAATAGCTCAAAAGTAATAAATGAAATTTTTGAAGTTCTTGAAGAGGATAGTCCAGACATAGAAAAGCTGAAGAAAGAAATGAGCGTGAACCTGGAAGGTGAAAGTGATGAGGATGAGCAGGAAGAGTCACTGAATATTTCATCAATGTCTCTGTTAACCCCTCTAGTGGAATCTGTTGGTCCAGAGGTAAGAGTTTTTAGGAGGTGGGGAAGGGCTTGTTCATCACACACAGATGTACAATTTGCTTGTGAACAGTGATATTTTGTTGTATTGTAATACATGGACAAATAGTGAAGTTACAAATGACACTTTGCTAATGAAAACATAATGAGGTAAAGATATTTTCCTCTGAAAACAGCATAGCATATTGCATGCTCTGCTAAACAAGTGGTTTAACTTTTGCTAAACCAAGCTTGAATATATACATCTATTACTTGTGCTGGACTTGCAGTGGTATACATGCATTCAGTGAAGTTGTAACTGATGAAAATCTGAAGAGAAGTAATTAGGTAACTACCAGTTTGGAAACTAAGGGTGAAATCTCCTTGAGCTCAACGCTCTGTTCGTGTCTTTAAAATAAATAAATAAATAAGCTTGTTCCACGTCCTAGGAAATATTTGTAAAATGTCTGTTAAATAGTGTTAAGCAGCCTCCAAATTTACTGTTTATATGTAATCGCAAAACAAGTAAAGGTGAGAGGAAATGTATCATGATTAATGGGGACAGATATCTGTAATATAACCTTTTCTTCTCTTCAGGCCTTTGTTTCTCCTTGTAAGTCAACTGGTGAAGGTAGCAGTATCAGTGATGTAAGTCTGAAGTCTGAAAAGTTCCAAAGGACTAAAGTTCCCAGGGCAGAATCTGGAGACAGTATTGGCTCTATGTCAGAAGATCGCAACCTTCCATATAGGTAATAAACACAAAAAACCACACCTGATTCTGTAAGCGTGCAAATTAAGACACTGGCTTTTTTAACTCTTCTAATGAAGCATACTGCTTAAACTACAAAAGAAGCTTTTGTCCAAGATCTCGACTGTTACCAAAGATTGTCTCTGTGTAGTCTTTGTTGCTTAAACTTAAAATGAGCTGAGAATGCTTTTTTAAAGCCATTTAGGCAAGTTGGAAAACATCAATACCTGATACATATGTATGTATATAATAAACCAAAAGCTTTGCACACCTGTGAAACATTTTAATGGGGTTTCCTCTTTTAAAAGCATTGATGCATATAGATCTCAAAGATTTAAAGAAACCGATCGTCCTTCAATAAAGCAAATTATTGTTCGCAAAGAAGACGTTACTTCCAAACTAGACATGAAAAAGAATGGCCCATCTGATCAAGTCAATATCAAAAAGAAAATGCAGGTATCTAATTACTTCTTAAAATCCTTTTTCTAATTTACTATTTCCTCGCTCAATTTCCCCTGTGAACATCCAGGACGTTAACAGGCTGCTTAGAACTGCAAAATTAGGTTGTTTAGCATAAATATCTAGCGGTAGGGAATGATACTGCATAATTTGAACAGCTAATGCATCTCTTAGAAGGATCATGCTATAGAGTAAGTCTGGAGAGAACAAGCCATCATTTTGAGAAGGGGACAGGGAATCTATATCTTATTACTGCCTTCTGAATTAGGCAGGATTCATAACTACATACTCTCAGTAGGCAATATTCTTATCTTCGCTGGTGCCTTGTTCACCTACACCACTGAATTTCTGGTTAACTGCTGCTTCCCCTGATGGAGGGAAGACTAGACTGGATATGGAGCGTACAAACATTGAAGTTATTCACTCCCCACCATATCTAAATTACCTCTGAGGTCAAAAAATTTGTGCTGCAATATTCTTTTGCAGAAGTAACTGTGAACTGCAAGATTTTTGTAGTTTACTATTTAAATGGTCTGATTTTTCTGAAGTATAGCCCCAAAAATGCTAATCTCAAGACACTTCCTTGTTTGAATGTAACAGTAAATTCTCTCTTCTTGCTAATTATTTTTACTACTGGTTTGCTCTAGGAGCTGAATAATGAGATCAACATGCAGCAGACAGTGATTCATCAAGCTAGTCAAGCTCTGAACTGCTGTTTTGATGAGGAACATGGAAAAGGGTCACAACAGGAAGCAGAAGCAGAGAGACTTCTTCTCCTTGCAAGTAGGTTTTTAGACTGAAGTTCAATTTGTCTTGAACACTTTGGGAAGGAATTGATGAACTCTGGAAATGCATTTGTTATGCTACCTTGTAGCCTCTTCTTCATAGTTCTTCACCTGGAAAACAGGAGAGGATAATATCTGTTCCGTCTCATCTTCTATAAACAAGAGGATACTTTTGATATCTCTCTTGTCCCTTATATTCCTGCTATTCTGGATGATGACTAACACTTCTGTTGCATTTCACATACTTATGGCAAAAAAAAAAAAAATTGTTCAGTACTACTTTTTCCTCTGTTACAATAGTAATTAATTAATTTCTCTATGCAGCTGAGAAGAGAACTGCTTTATTGGAAGAACTGAATAAACTGAAGAGTGAGGGACCTCATAGTAGAAGAAATAAAGCTGCTTCTACATCCACTGAATTTGCTCCATCCAGGGGATCTGTTTCCATTTCAGAAATGCGTCTACCTCTAAAAGCAGACTTTGTATGTGGCACAGTTCAAAAGCCAGGTAAAACTAGTAACTGAAAGCTTTACCCCTTCCCTCCCCCTTCCACCATCCTCCCTACATATATTTCTAGTTTATTCTCCTTGGGTTTTTTGTGTTCTGCATTTGAGTTTCTCAGAACTCTGGAGGCAATGAAAATTTAGCAATTACATTTAATTGACCTGCTTTTTCACTAAGTTTTCGATATTTTCCATGGTCGTTTTAGTTGCATCCTTTTCTGGCTTATGAGGTTCAAGAAACTTATCAAGACTTTCCCAGCCAGTCTTAAAGATCTTTGTGGTCCTCTGTAACCTGTTGGAGAGGAAGTAGAATTTTGTATCTTGGGTTATCTTCTCTCTTGCTGCCTTGGATTTTTTTTTTTTGATGGATGCAAGTCTAGTACTAAATATCACTACATAAATTCTAACCTCTGTGGTGGTGTGAAATGCTCATTAAGCCTCTATTATTTTTTTTTTAGTCCTTCTGTTAGCATCCCAAAATACTTAGTTTACAAAGATTAGTCTTCCATTATCTTGTCATATTTAAGTCATTAAAGCATTAAAATGTGTATTTGTTTCTTCTTTTGTTCCAGAAGAATATCTAGGACTATCTCTCTGTAGGCCTAGAGACTTATCCTGGAGCATAGTAAGCTTCTGTGTCATGTGGTTGTTTAAAGAATCTGCAAGCCCATGATAACCAGTGCTACTTTATATAATGCCACAGAATATGATTGTAGCTGGACAGGTTCCTACTTCTTGCCTCACTAAAACTTGAGGACAAAAGTCATTGGACAAAGTCTTGTTTAATATTGGTTTGAAAACTTCTTCTAATTAATTCCTATGTAGCCGTTCTTGTTTTCTTGTTTAACTGTCCTATGAAATGTAAAGTGTGTTTTTATATCTTCAAATAAAACCACAGCCAAGAATATAAATGTAAATACCTGACATACTTTATTACACCACCACCCCACCCCACCCCCCCCCCCCCCCTTTCACAGTTCTTGTTGCGTGAGACAATTCATCTCTGCTATAGGAAAGCCTCTCTAATGGTTACAAACGGAGGGTTTTAGTTTCTATCAGTAATTCTTACAACCAAATTGTCTAAACAAACAACTATGAACTATTTGTCATCAAAACTTTATTCTGGAAGTGCAGCATTTGCTATACATTGTGCACCAGAAGCTCTATTAATCACTTTCATGTCTGAAGAGAACATCAAATACAAAGAGTACAAATCAATGCTTACTGGAGTCTACAACAGTTGTTCTGAAAGCTGTGACTTGTCCTATACAACAGAGCACTCAAACTGGTTTTTTTTTGTTTTTTTAACATGGTATGGTATTATGCAATGCTCTTGCTTTACTGTTTAGCAATTTGCTGCACAAACTCCAAATCATCTCCTGACGCTATTGAGATGTGCACTTGTAAGAGGAAAACAAGAAAGACGACCACGTGAAAAGTTAGGGAAATGAGTTGCCTGGATAACCAGTTCCTTCATAGGACTGAAAAAAGCATGAGAATGGGCAGCAGCAAAAGCCAATGTATAGTTAAGCTGGCAGGCCTAGAGAATAACAACAGAGTCTAAGGAGCTAAGATTAATTGCTGAATCTGACTGAAAGTTCTTCCTCTCCCCTCTCATGCACTGGGTAGTGTAGGTCTGGCCTGAGATGCCCCAGGCAGTAACAGAGTTGTTGTAAGACTGTCTCCACAGGATTCACTAGTGGACACAGTAGGGAAAAACCCCTTGTTTTAAGAGTAAGTTTATAAGCAAATCTTGACTGTAACCAAGTGTTTAAGTGGGGTGAAACAGAGGTGTGTTTAATGGCAATGCAGTACTTGGGGGTTTTTCGGTACTTGTACACCTCTGGCTATCAAAACCGTCTGATATGTATTTACAGAAGCAGCAAATTACTACTATGTAATAATACTGAGATCTGGAGCGGAAAACATGGTTGCAACTCCATTAGCAAGTACTGCCAGCTCCCTGAATGGAGATGCTCTTACTTTTACTACGACATTTACTATGTAAGTATAAAGAAACTGTTTTGGAACCAGTTTCAACTCTGATGGTGGAGCATGCATAAAAATGTTTAAAATCTTCATATAAGGATGTCATACTCTGCAAACAAATATGGTGAGATCTTGTGGTATGGGTATTTGCTGCTTCAAGAAATAGCTCAAATGCACTTCTCTCAAAAGAGCAATCTAGACTTATTCTACCATCCATCAGCTAATTTCTCTCTTCCTTTTTCTACTTTTGTTCTTTCCTGGAACACCTGTGATGACAGATGGATTGCTCTGCCTGAGATTACATGTTTTTTCTTGTTTGCAGCAACTAACATTTTTATATAGCTATTTGGTTTTGGTATCTGGAAAAAATAGTACTCTTAAAACTAAAACTTCAACTCTCATATGTTAGCTAAAAAGGTGTTGTGAGTTCAAATGGCTGTTTGTTAGTAAACGTCTTCCAAAATAAATATGCAAACTTCCTTTTTAAAGTCCAACCCAACTGGAATTTTCACTTAAAGCTATTTACTCAAAAAACCCAATCTCTGTTTCTAGAAATGTGTGCCAGCATTAGACTGAAGGGTGCAATCTGAGAAATGGTAGATGCACTCTATCTGCCCTTTGTCCTCCCTCCCCTTTTGTTCTTTGACTTCTGGAAAGTATCTTGAAATAGTAGTACGTTCAAGTCTTAAAAACAGCAATGCTACTTGCACTGAAGACTACCATCGTAGAAGTGAAAGGATCTCAAATAGCCCTATTGGCCTGCACAGACAAACTATGACTTACTAATAAGCGATTACCTATTAGTCAGCACTATGGCCAAGCTTCTCTTGCATTGAACATAGCTTTTCCCTGGACAGTTTTAAGGAGCTTTTTGCTTCAGTCTGTGTTTCTGTGTTTAACTTGTTTTTTTTCCCCCCCCTCCTCCCTTTTAGGCACGATGTGTCAAATGACTTTGAAATAAATATAGAAGTTTACAGTTTGGTATGTATCAGTTCCTGTAAAGAGGATGTGTAAGGGAGAATGATGTGTTGTACTTTCTTAATACCTTCTTGCCTTACAGGTACAGAGAAAAGAAGTTACAAGCACTGATAAAAGGAAAAAGGCAAATAAATCGAAGGTAAATAAAACATGAAAACCAGTATGTTGTATTTCAACAGAAGGTACACTAGGAATACTGCTGTGTTCAGGGAGAACTGACTAATACTCTTAGACAATCTGTTGCTTGCTTTTACTCTTGTTCTTTCTTGGAACACCTGCAATGACAGATGGGTTATGGAGTCCTGCAGCTGTTAGAAGATTGGACCTGCAGCACTTCGTTGAGTCTGAAATATATTGGAGGGGAAGGAGAAGTCTTACTAGTTCTGCATAAATGCTATCCTTTGCAAACTCTTTATTTATTAGGTATGGTGCCTCTGATAGTGATTTAGTGCCCTTATTCGCCACTTTACTTAAACTACACCAGTCAATATGCCCTACCGTGCAGTTTGATTTGTCTTAAAGGTTCTATTGATCAACTGCAACACTTTTCTTTCTTCTCAGTGTTAAGTAAAAGCACTAGATACTTATTTCTTAAAGCAAACATTGTTTTAATAACTTCTTGGACAGAAACATTTTAGTTTGGATAGGGTGTACACTTCAAGTGTTTGTTTTATTAAGGCTTTGTGACCCCAAACAAGCCAGTGGCTTTCTGGAGGTGGTTTTTTTCTTTTCTTGTCATTCCAATAGCTGGGCACACAGTGTATTAATGATTTTAGGTCTGATTTTCCTCCTTGTCAAGATATGTCACTTAATAAAAACAAGAAACTCGAGTTTCTTTCAAAACAGTTGAAATGGGTACTTAAATCCTGTCTCTGCAAACAGAAATAGGAACTTTAATCTTTACTTTCATGTGGCACAGTGAAAGCATGCTTCCACCTATCCCCCAGTAAACCAGTTTGAAGTCCAGGGTTTTTTTCTCTCCTGTGCTGTAGGTTAGAGGAATCTTTACTTAAAACTGAATGTGTTTGTGGCACTATAGGTGAGTTGCTGGTGTGGGGTTATAGGTTTGCTGATGGTATCCTGTATCTGCTTTTTGACAAGCTTCTTCCACTTGTCTTTCAGCTTCAAGAATAGATGAGTACATAAGTCCAGTTCATGTTTAATATACAGTCTCACTTAAATGTTGATATTTTCACCTGAAAATATAGATAATGTACAGCAGTAGCACACTGAAAATCTCTCTATTTGTATTGTTAACTCTTATCTTTAATAAGTAAATGTAACTTTGAAGCCCTGTTACATGAAGGAAAAAGGTCTAAGATTGTTTTTTCAAACGCATGCTGTCCATTCCAAGCTAATGCATACTTAAACTTTTCTGCAGTAAATATTTCTTTAATATGTAGCATTCCTTCCACTGAAATATGTTACATTCAGTCAAAACACAAGACTTGCTCACTACAACTAGTATCCATTCAAAATTTATTTAGATAAGCCTTCAGTAGTTTCACTGTCCATTTTTCATGCTGTGATGGACAAATTCAGTAGCAAATACATTTATCTTCTTATATTCTTTTGTAGGTTATTACTCCAAAGAGATTATTAACATCTATTACCTCTGTAAGTATGAATGTAATATTGTAACAAGATCTGCTTATGACCACTTCCAAAGGCCATATTCTCATACTGAATAAGGCTGAGCCCATAGTAGGCTCTTTGTGTCCCTTACTTGAAACTCTATGAAACTGTCCAGCTTTCTGCCAAACTCTTCAGCCATCAGCTCAAGAAATAGGTAACAGCTCTAAATATGTAATGCTGGAAATATGCAGTTACTACACATTTCTTGTCAAGTTGTTTTTGTTTGTGTGTTTTTTAAAGTACTTCAGATCTAGTTTCTTTCTAACCTAGCTTAGTCTTCTGTAGAAATTGTCAGAAATTACTTTTCCAATAAGCTCTTATTTTTTTTTTCTCTCTCTCTAGAAAAGCACCCTTCTTACTCCAGGTAAGTAAAATCTAAACATCTTATGCCAAGACGAATAATCTACATTTGCTGTCTAAAGCAGTATATCAATAAATAATACTTGTAACAGATGCTAATTTGGGAGTAGTAAACACAGAATTATGTCAGTTTGCCAGCCCAGAAACTGGCCCTGTGTTTATATCAGAGTTAGAATTATGTTTAATGTAAGATCTCTTCACAAAATCAAAATTAGTATCTGTTATCAGATGCCAACGGTTTACATTCTTTTCCTGAAAAAGTGAACTCAAACAAATTTTAAGATTTTAAACTAGAGTCTGATGTCAACAAAGTAATACAGAGCAAACTTGAAAATATGAACAGATTCTGAAGTATTGCTTGTGTGTAGTGTTTTTAACATGTTGATATATTTCTTACTCTTTGGGGAGAAGAACATCATCTCTGTTTTTCTAACAACATAAAAATGTGTTATACACTTGTCTGGCTACAGCATGAGATATTTGAGCTAGCTTTAGTACAAATTGCAGCAATAAGGAGCTCATGAACTAACTCTGGAATGTCTACCATGCTGCTGCAACTAGTCAGATTCCTGTGCCTGAGCTATAGTGCTTGTTTCTATTGATAAAAGTGCAAAGAGGAATGTAGACATACAAATTCTGCAAGACTGCAGCGTGTCACTTGAGAAGAGGTTAAGAGATTTCAAAGTCAAGTTCCTACTGCGGGGCATGTGTGCTTTGTAGTGTGCCCTAAAGTGCTCTCTGTCCCCCTGAGACTCCTTAAAATGCTTTGTCTTCTCCTTTGTGAATATTTCAAAACTTCTTTCTGAAAGAAAAGATCTACTGAGGAGGAATGGTGTGCACCAAGATCCCGTCTGAATGTGCTGCTGGGCTGCACTGCAAGGAGTGCATCTCCTGGAGTGCTGAGTAGGGCACACATACACTAGTACAAATAAAGCCTTTTTAAGCCTTGCAGTATCCTGATTGTGTGTTGTGTTATGACTTGACTTTAACTTTTTTCTCCACAGCCATGGCCAGTCCAGGTGGCCCTAATGCTGTACGCGCTACTAATTTCATCCTTGTTGGATCCCACAAGCTATCACTATCTTCTGTAGGAAATGCCAAATTTGCATTGGACAAGGTAATGGAAACTATTGGTTACTAATCCAAAGGTAATTGCATACTGCTAGAAAAACGAATGAGTTTGGATTTACTGTTTTCAGGCGAAATTACCATCCTAGAAATGAAACATACAGGTTTATATATGTGTTATTTTCATATATATATATAAAAAAAACTTATGTATCGTTGTTGTTATTTAATTTCATATGACTGAAATGTAATTTTGAGATACAACAGAAAGACTTACATTATGCCAGATGTTCGTTCTTTTCTGTAGGTCACTGTAAGGTATGGTTATGCAAAGATAATGTAGGCATTTGGTTACTGATTTGCTTTCACTGACAAAAAATTGATGTATGCAGTTGGCATCTCTGTATGTGGTCTTCATGTTGTTCGTTGCTCTTACAGTATTGCAGTTATCACTAAATAAGACATTAAGTGTGTTCTAATGATAATGAAGTATTTGAAGTTTTCTATATTTAATTGACTTAAAAATTGCCGTTTGAATATAGTTAGGAGTATGAGTTTCCTTTCATATCCCAATTAAATTTGTAGAAGCAAACTATCTTAATATTTTTTGAAAGAGAGCTATTATTGAGTTTTATACCATTAGTCCCTTGTCTAAACAGATTATGTTTATTGGCTCTTACCATTAGAAGTAAAAAAATACATTCTTACATTCATTGTAATCTCTAACCTCATAATATCTAATACCTAAAACCTATTTTAATAGGTGTTTATGCCAGCAGCTATCTTAAGCTAACTTAATTTAATTCAAAAGTTACTACAGCTTATGGTAGTACTAAATTACAGCTTTATCTATCCAAACAGCAGCATAAGAATAAACTTTCTTCTTGGCTAATTAAGTCTTATTCTGATGATAGTAGTATTGCAATTATAGCCTCTGAGAGATGAGATTACAAGAATTGGTTCTGTTTGTGCACAAGATTGAAAACAAAATATTGCAATAATCCCAACTTGCTTTTTAGAAGTTCTACTTTTTGTGGGTAGAAGCAGACTCCTTTACTGAAACAGTTCACAGAACTTAACAGTTGAATTGCACTGCTGTTACTGACTGTGTGAACTTCAGAAGCACCAGCTTTGGTTCTTTAGCATAAATGTTCCTTCTAACCAGAACTGCGTGTAGAAGTCTTATTTTGTGTATGGCTTGATTATTGGAAACCCCTTGTTCTTGGAGTTATGGGAATCAGCTTTTACATTATATTCAGCAATTTGGGTCTGAACTTTTTTAGTTTACTCTTTAAGACAGGACACTGGACTGGTCTGGTAAACTGTAGCAGAAACATGAGGTTCAAATAAGATTCCAGGGAAACCATCACTTGGTTAATTTTTTCCAGGTGCAAACTTCAGCAGTTATGAATAAGAATTCCCCTTTTTGTCAGAACTTTTTTTTTGTTACATTATTACCTCTGTAAAGCTTCAGTTTTGACTTGGCCTGTGGCTGTACCAAACAGCTGCTTTTTAACTTTCTCCATGCATTTCTAATACGGAACAAACTGCTGCCACAGTGGGTTTTTTGAGTTTCATTCCTCCCTTTTATATGCACTGTTAAAATTCAGGGTAGAAAGGACCAAAATGTAATCATGTATAACTGTGTCCTTTTTTTTTTTTAATAAACCTTAACTTTACACTAATCGCGTTGAGCATGTTTCTTTTTTCCCTAGATAAATTTTGAAGGGGAGGAAAAAGAACTGTTGGGCTATATGTTCCAGGACAAGGTTGCTATGATCCTTTAGTTTATAACTTAAAAGAGGAAACTGCTTCCTAGTGCATGTTGCTCATGTCTGTCTGGCCTTTTTGCAGTATTTTTTTTTTTTTTAATTCTTCTTCTAAGAAAATGCTTACAAAGATTTCCTAACTAAACATAATATGTTAGGAGCCTTTAAGAATTGCAGAATTCTACTCCCTGTCTTTTACAATAAAAAGCATGCTGCTAGAACTCAAAGTTATTTAGGCTACCTAGGGTTTTTCCTTAACTAGCATGTGTCTCTTGTCTTCCTAGATCACTAGAGGAGGGTTTTTCTTACTTCAAAACAAATCAATGTGTCTCTTAAAGATTGCTAGTAAGGAAATTTAAGTCAACTTCTTGATGAACTGCACAGAACATAGAATCAGCTACTCTGCTGATAGAGGACCAGGGAAAAATGACTGGCGGCCTAAACGTTGGTTTAACTCAACTTGTTGCCACTGAAGAAAACTAAAATCACTCAGAAACTAAAAGTCTTGTTTCTTATTCTAGCGAGACCTTGTTCTGTCAAGATCTATCAAGACCTTTGTTTTTTAAGCAAAAAGCAATCATAAGAACTGAAGTCTTGAAAGTACTAAACACATCAAAATGTGAGGTTCTTATTTGTACACAAATGTGCAATTAAAATATTTTGCTTGGTGTATACCTTTTTTGCTTTAGGAATTATGTAAATTGATATGCTTAAAAGAAATAATTGGTTTCTAATATCTGCAAATATTTTAACCTTTGTTTTTTAAGCAAAAAGCAATCATAAGAACTGAAGTCTTGAAAGTACTAAACACATCAAAATGTGAGGTTCTTATTTGTACACAAATGTGCAATTAAAATATTTTGCTTGGTGTATACCTTTTTTGCTTTAGGAATTATGTAAATTGATATGCTTAAAAGAAATAATTGGTTTCTAATCTCTGCAAATATTTTTAGTTAACTGTTAACTCGGATCCCTCAGAAGAAAGTGTTTAGATAACTTTACGTATGCTTTCTCTCAAAATTAAGCAGGTGATAATTTTAGTACCTATCATCTCCTATTTGTAATCAAAAGTCTCCTAAGAAACCAATTTTTTCCAAATTCTTGAGAGTTATCTTGAGTATCTTTACAGATAATCTTCTATGACAGTAAGCCAACATCTGAATGACCACACCAGGATGCAAGCTAGCCTAGTAATGGGCTGCAGTTTTCATCTAGCTGGATGGTCAACAAATTGCTTGCTTTCTACCACCTCCACCCCACTTGCCTTTGAAAGGGACATGTTTTTGACTGGAATGTAATGTTTTCTCATTATGTGTACAGGAGGGTGTTTTCAGACCTGCTTTAGTAATTAGTAACAGTGTTATAGGCTTTGCATAACTGCTGTGTTCTGTTTGTTGTACAGCCTTTTTGCTTTACTGTCACACAGCTCTTCACTGGTAAACTTCATAATCCACAAAGTAGACTCTTCTGTCCTGACATAAATTAGAAAGGAATGCAAAAACCACAAACTTGAAGTGGGGAATTGATCAATCTTCCTTGAGGCCCTCATTCAGAAATGGATTTTACTGTGGTTTGGTAGGATATAAGCCAATGTTCCCTGGTGTAGCATGTAGGGTTATAGTTGTCTTTGCTGATAAAAATCCAGGACTGATGCAACTCATTTCTATTATGTGCAAACATTTGTCTATTTTTGCTTCTCAAATGGTCCTACTTGGTGCTCAAAATTTTGCTATGCTATACTGTAGGGCCAAGTACATGAGCAAGCCATGCATGCTGTCTTAGTTGAGTAGACCTAACACGTAAAAATGATTTGATCACCTGCTTGTGCATGTGTATCGTGTCTGGGAGGAAGCTGCAGTATGCCTACAATTCAAAGATGATCAATTTCTAACCAAAACATCCATTTCGGTGTTCTGCAGGGTTCACCGAGGCCTACAGATGTACACTTCTAACTACTGAGGGTTACTCTTGTTCATCTTAACTACTAGCAAAACTTAATTCCGTTTGATTGACATTGATTCCACGGCTCTAAAAGCTATTTCATTATTGTGTACACATGCCTTTTCCCTGTGTACAGGGAAATGGTTCTTTCTTTGTATTTGAGCAGCACCATCGACCTTTCTGTTTTTTTCTAGTAAGACAAAGCACCCATGTTTCTGATTTTTTTTATTTGCAAGATTCTTACAGTATTGCTTATTCAGATTAGCAACAAAATGTGGTATGTAGAATGCCCTGGAAATTATAATTTGCTTGTTGAATAAGCAATTTCTTTCTTAGCTTCCCTGTGGGGAAAAAAAGGGCTGTGATTTCTTGACAGTAGTGGTGGGAGCACTCAATGTGATGGGGTGCTATGTGTGGAGGGATTGGGGGAAGTCCAAAGGCAGTCCTTGTTGCATGCTCCTCCTCAAAACTCTTCAATATTGAATAACCATTTAACCAACCTCTGGCACAGCAGTTAAGCTGCTTTTTTTTCAGTGGTAGAAGATAGGGCTTGGAACCTCTTTTGTTAGAAATGACTTAACACAGGTCTTCAACACCTTGAGTGCCAGTTGAGAAGAACTGCTTCCATTACTTTTTTCCCCTTCTAGGTTTTTTATACAAATGTTTATCTGAGTAGGCACTACTACATCAGTATCTGCCAAAAATGCTTATGGCATCCAAGTACCAATCCTGTTCAAGCCCACTTTGATATTTTCCAAACAGCTTAATGTCAAATTGAGGCAGAAGCTTGCAGGATGTGGACTGGTGCCTTGTGTTGTTTTTAACCGTGCTTGGAGTGCCCGTTTTTCTAGATAGAAGCATGTTTGTGCATATGTCCTGAGCAAACTAATAAGCAACTAAGTCTTGTAAAGCTTCTAAACGAACTAGAAACAAAAAGTGATTATTACTGTCTTGCTTGAGACTGACCACTTCTTTCTGGCTGAAAATCCTAAGAACAAGACAGTGCTAACATCCTGGTGCAGGTGGCTTGCTTGAACAGGTAGAGTTGAGAGGTGTCAAAATTAAATGACTAATTGTTTTATTTTTTGCAGGTTCCCTTTTTGTCTCCTTTGGAAGGTCATATATATCTGAAGTTAAAATGCCAAGTGGACTCTTCTGTGGAGGAAAAAGGGTTCTTGGTAAGGCATTCACTTCAAATTCCTTCCTTGGAAATTACAGGTCCTATTAAACGTAGTCACTTTTTTAACTTCACCACATGTATTTGTAGTGATTTGTGAAGCTTAAAACTGGCTTGCTTTTTTTTCCTCTCTGAACCAGACCTCAAAATTTTCCTAGTTTATCTTCTAAACATGCCTAAGCTAAAGCTACTTTTTAGGATTTTGTATATCTTCTTCTAAACACTGTTCATTTGTTTATTCTGTACTTCAGTTAACCTTCTTTTGCTATAATCTGTGATGTGAGATGAGATTCTAATTTCTCTGCCAGAAACTTTTACAGGACACTTTTGGTTTTGTGGTTTTTTGTTGTACTTACAAGGAAGCAACAGAATTTTTTGAGAAACCTCTTGAGCAGTTCTCTCTAAAACTAGGCTTGGAAAAGGCAGCTGATACTTGGCCCTAATAGATGGTGCTGTTGAGATTATGTCCAGCAGATGGCAGTAAATGTGCTATGAAAATACTTCAGTAAAACATTAACATTTGCTGTTATGTTGGTGTTTTCAGAAATTGGAATTTCTTCAGACTCTTTTCAAGCAGTTCTTTCTGTCTCCTTTCCCTTTACTTAATTGAAGTTGAGCAGATTTCATTAAATACAGACATTTCACATGCTTACGGTATTTGCTATCCCAAGTTTTTGTGTACTAATTTAAGAAAGTCCTTGTTTACTTCTACTATACAATATGTAAAACCTGAAAAATGGTGTACATGCATATTAATTTTTTTTTTCAGAGTAAGGGTTTGGAAACTCCCTGCACCATTAAAAATTATAATCTGAATTGTGAAGAGTGAAAAACACAACACACACAAAAATTAATTGAAAAAGAGTTCTGTACAAGTTCAAGAGGGATCAGGAGACAGATACTAAACTTTGCAGTACTAAGGAAATGGGGCTTGAAATTGGCATAATCCTGCATCCAGTAAAATAACTGCCAACACAAAGATTTAAAAATCAATTTCTAATTTCTTTTAAACTGACTGGACTCCTGAGTGTGGCCTGCAGAATAGCCAAACATTTTGTAATCCTGAATTGTAAGTCAAAGATGACTTAATACCTAATTATAATAAATTATGTGATACTAATACATGTTTTGTGAACCATTCGTCCTGTATCTGCTATAAGTAACCCTCCATTATCTTAAAATAATGGGAATGCTTACCACTGTCAACATAAAAACGTGGTAATTTGAAATAGCAGTGATAGGTGCATTTTGAGCAAAAGGCTGCAAACCTGAGAATGATAGCGCAAGCCCATTTTCTGTGCTATCTGGAAAATAAATATATTGTACTAATAGAAGTCTCTCCCAGTATATAATTTTTCCTTCTCTTATGTTTACTCCTATGAAGGGTTGTACTTGCAGAACCATTCTGTTAAAAAAATTTTTTTTCATTCTGTTAAAAAAAAATTAAAAAAAAAAAATAAAAAATTGAGTACAGACGAAGCTCAAGGTATAATGTTACCCCATTTTTTTACTTTTTTTTTAAGACTATGTTCGAAGATGTTAGTGGATTCGGAGCATGGCATAGGCGCTGGTGTGTGCTGTCTGGAAATTGTATATCTTACTGGACATACCCAGATGATGAAAAACGAAAGGTAATGGTATTTTATACAGCTCAAGTCTAAAGTTTTGTAGTACCCGACACAACTAGCTGTTCATTTTTAATGATGGTAATGTTTAGGCTTAAAACAGGTAAGTATATTCAAAGCATGAGATTCAAGCTCATAAAGTTTCCTTGGGGAATGGAGGGGACTTGTCTTCATAAATCTGACCTAAATTGGAGCAAACTTAGAAACTGACCACTTTATCTGGTGGGAAAGGGGAAAAGTGGAGGAAGATCCATATTTAATTTCCCCTTTAGTCTTAAGGCTTTCCATTGCGCTTGTCAAATGACTAATTATTTAATTGAAATTGATCAGACTTGTACAGCTTAATAAGCAGACTATACCTAGTTGGCATAAGTTTTAGACAAAATAATGACTTAATGACTTAAAACACTTAATATGGTAAAGAATTAGAGTGGGCAATCCTTCTGTATTGCAGAAGCATAGCTGTCATTATGGATTATCTTATTTGCAGTCACTGTTTTCTTGAAGCTCCACATTATAGCTGAAACTGATGCTTTTTAAATGGTTCTCACAGAAACCTAAGTTATTGTCTGGCTAATGAGACAGATCAGCGGTTCATCTGTCACTGAGGTGAACCTTCTTGTCTCCTTAGCATGTTCTTGCAGTGCGTACTGAAATATTTCCAGGTCCTTTTAAAAACTGCTTTCAGGAGGGTTCTTCTGAGTCACTTAAGCAATTTACCATTAAACAGTTGCTTGTTTGCTGGCAGAACACTTTCTTTCCCAAACTCTGTGGCAACCTCTGGTCCTTTTGGGTCTTCTGTGTCAATCCAGATGCCTGAGTTTAGTTTCTTCCCTGCTAACAGAGGAAGACCATATGCTGGTAGTTGACATTGCCAAAATATATCAGTGTACTTTCTTTCCCTGCCAGGAGGGAGGGAGAAATCTCTGCCTACTGTAATAGAAGATAGGCAAAAAAAAAATTGAGTTAAGCAAGAAAAAGGTTCCTATTCTGCTTTAGTCTGCAAGAAAGAAGCTTTGGTTTGTTTTCCAGATTCTGTTCTTAAAAATCTTCTAGACTTGTTTCACTATCATTCTGACAAAGGGTCAGCTATATTCTTTTGATATACTGTCATCTACAGCAATATTAAACTCTATCCTTATTAAATACCTCCCCTTACCCCCACTATATCTGGTCTGCTATGCAGAGATAGATGTAGCTCTGAAATACCAGTATTGGGCAATGATTGCTTTAAATTGTGGACTGTTTTTTTAAATAAACTTCCCATGGCTGTACATATCACCAACATGCAACCTGTTTCTTAATGTTCCTTGAAATGGAGCTATCCTTCTTCTTCCTGTAACTTAGGTTATTTTAACTAGCTATAGAATAGTATAGTGAACATGCCCAATAAATAGCAAACTCTTTTCCAAGCCAAGAGCAGCTTGTGATGTTTCCCTGATGAGGTATTCTGTAGGTGTGAAGAATTGGAGCCAAAGCCTGTAACTAACTTTAGGCATACAGCTGAGCCTCTGTCTATAGTCAGCAGAAAGATAACTGCCTTGAAATTTGAAATGCTCTTTGAAGGGGTCTGGCTATTGACTATAGAGGGAGCTAAAGCAGCAGGACGTGGCACTTAGGTGCCTTAGTTGCATGTTTGAAGATGAATCCATATGCTTATAGGCTTTGACAAGAACGATGCAAGCATCCCTAAAGTGCTTGTTTTCTGTAGGCTTTGACAGGGTTTACTCTATCAGTTTGGATTTTATTATGAAGCTCACTTGAATTTGAGAGTTAAAAAGCTCTTTTTTTTTTTTTTTTCTTAAGGAAAAAAGAAAAGGGGGGATATATCTTTCTAGAGCCTAAGCCTTTAGTAAGGGATGGATTTGTTAGCTGTATTGTATGTGGCTGAGCTAGGGCACATTCCATTGTCTATATTATTTTGCTTCAGCTATAGCTTTTAAATGCAAAACGTGGAATGCCTCTTTTTGTATGGAGTAATTGATTGGGGGGGGGAAGTCACTTAATATGGCAAAAATTGTCAAAGCATATGTTTTTCAGAATTGCTCTTGATTGCAGTATTCTTGACTGATGAACTAACTTCACTTTCAGCATCCTTTGGGACGGATAAACTTGGCTAACTGCACTAATCATCAGATTGAACCTGCCAACAGGGAGTTCTGTGCCCGTCCCAACACTTTTGAACTAATAACTGTCCGTCCTCAGAGGGAAGATGACAGAGAGACTCTTGTCAGCCAATGCAGAGACACGCTCTGTGTTACAAAGTGAGTGGATAAAATCATGAAGGTTTGTGGGAGGTTATGGGATGTGTGCAGGAGGGGTGTGTTGCCTCAAGTGATAGTTTTAATAATATAGAGCTTTACAACTTTGACATGCCAGTTCAAAGCCCATTTAAATGCTAAGACTTTGGGGTGACACTTGAACTGTTTGGTTTGCTTTTAGTCCTGTTTTGTCTTGCTGTCCCATTTCAGTCTTCTGAGGACAAAGAGCTCAACTTTTCCAGAAGTGGAAATGCCAGGATTGTGGAAGATTTGACTTCATTTTTTCCCCTGCTATTTGGGCTTCCATGGATGATCAGCTTGACATTTTTCAGAATAACTAAGTAGAGGCGGAAAAAGACGTATTTAATCCATTGGGTTCTTTGCCTTTTAGGAACTGGCTGTCTGCCGATACTAAAGAGGAGCGTAACCTTTGGATGCAAAAGCTCAACCAAGTCCTTGTTGACCTTCGCATGTGGCAGCCTGATGCCTGCTACAAGCCTATTGGAAAGCTTTAAACTCTGGAAGGGAAATATGAAGAAAATATCTATACAAAAACCCACATGAACTACACAAAAAAAAAAGGAGAATGTGGGAAGTCCTCTGGGTCACTTATGCTTTAAATTTGAGAGAGTGTGTAACATTATACAGGACTATGTTATGCAGTATTTTTATTTCACTTTAAGAATTTTAAAACTCTTTTGCTTCCTAGCTTTTGAGTATGGTAGGAAGCAATTAGCTATTTCTAAATGTGCTAAATATTTATGTAACTCCTTTTTTGGAAGTCCTTTTTTAGCTAAGTACATTCTCTTCTTTAAAGAACTAAATTATTACAGGAAATCACACTTCAGGGCAGGAAGGGGCGGCAAGCTAGTGACAAAACAAGCTTACTAGATAACTCAGCTCCCTGAAAGAAACAATAGCTTGGAGTTCTCTAACAAGGATGGCGCTGAAGCACAAGATTTAATATTGGAGGGTTTGTCGCGGGGTTTTTTTGTAATGATCAGGTATAGAAGTTACTAGTAAATTTTATCCTACAACATGCAATATAGGTATTTCTTGCTTGCACAGTCTCCTTGTGGTCAGAACAAAAGACATGCACAATATATGCATACTTCTCTTGCAATTTCTCGTACAAACTGGTATGGATAAGTGCATGCCATGTATCCTATATGGCTTACAGGTATGGAATTATGTATGCAGTGTATTGCACTTTGATAGAAATGAAAGGTCTTGAGTATTTTTGTTAGGACTGCTATATTAAAAAAAAATCAGAAAAAAAATTAGTTTTAGGATTGTATACGTCAGTATTTCCTGGGACTCATGGTTTGTACAAGCTAGAATTCTCCTCCGTTTGAGAACCAGGAATAGGTTGTAAAAGTGCTTTTTGGTTTTGGTTTGTTTTTTTTAATATATAAGACTACAAAGCTGCTATGTACCAACTAATCCTCCGCTGGCCGAAAGTATGGGTCTTCCTCCCCCTCATAGACATGTCCATAAATGCAGATAAAAACATTACTTCAGACCCATCATTAAAATGGCAAAACTGTTCAGTTAAAACTTGTGATTTTCACAGCTTTTCACTGGGCTTAGTGAAATACTATCTCATTACTTCACTATTGTGAATGCAATAGTGGAATACTTAAAATTGCTATTGCTGTTGTATATTCACACTTGAAACACTAAATGCTGTTAGCTCATACTGTTTTCATCCTGCCACTTTTGTACTTCTGCTTTCAAATCTAGTTTTCTTTTTCTGATGTTTTTAAATATTTCCAGACTATGTATTGAGATTTATTTTATTCATTTAAAATAAAGAGTAAAACACTTTATGCTTTTTTCATAATGTCACCTATGCACTTGAGATAATAGTTTGTAGACTGAAGAAGAAAAGCTGGACTCCACACAATGTTTAAGAAAGGATTCTATTCGGTATGTGTATCCTAAAATACCGCTTGATTTGAGAAGATAATGTGATGCCTCAGGGGTAGCTGGCACCAAATTTTGTAGTGGGAGGCCTGATTGTCTGTGGGCAGTTACCATGCACTGGTTGGAACATATATGAACGTAGAGGCTGCTAGAGACGAGCAGTTCATCAAGTATGGAGAGGAGAGGTGGTTCTTTCCTCTTGTGATAGAGACACAGCAGCAGAGTAGCAATACAACGTGGACAGTGGAAGAGCAAATTTCATCTGTGGATCCATGGTAGGCTGTCCACTTAAACTTCCAAGTGGATGTTAATAAAAATCATTAAATATAAAATTATTAAACGAGTCCATAGAAAGGTGTTAAGAATGGAACTGGATATATTTAAGGGAATGACCTATTTTTATTTAGGCTAATTGGGCTATTGTCCATTGTAGAAACTGACCTGTGTTTTTTGCCTGAGATGAAAAATGACCCTCATCAAGGAAAAGCTATTGTCCATTGTAGAAACTGACCTGTGTTTATTCATTGCCTGAGATGAAAAATGACCCTCATCAAGGAAAGGTTTAAAGTGTAACTGGTGATGTAAGTTAGAAAGGCTGACCTGGATGGTGAGTTGTAGGCACAAGCTGTCAGTGGCGATGACATGCAGTACTGCAGCCAGCAGAAGCGCGTGACGCTAGCTTAGCAGCAAGCCTGCATTTACAGCTTGACTGACTTGCACTGCTGTGTACCTCCTCCCCTCCCGCGTTCCCCTGCTCTTTTAAGGGTGAGCTGTGGAAAAGTTTTTGAAAATGTTGGCAAACATTTTTTTTCATGTTTGTAGCAGATCCTTTTGGAAGAGACCAGACTGTGTGAATTCATCTATAGCTACCTGAAGCTATTTGTTCTATACCTCAAAAATAGTTTCTGCTGTCTGATTTCAAACAAGCTTTAAATTTTGTAAAAACAGTTTATGAACAGAATAACATTAAAAAAAAAACCCTTCCCCTTTGCAGTGCGTTGGAACTAGCCAGTGACATAATCCCCCCCGTGCTCGCCCGCTCAAACCCTTCCCCAAAAAAGACCTTGACAGACCATTCCTTCTAGAAATCTGTACTGCTATAAAGTTTGAATGCTTAGCTTTCCAAGAGAAACTTTTTTTTCCTGTTTATTTCTCTCTTCCCCATGCATTTGTCACCGTCAACCAATCTAAGCACCAGCAGACAGTTAAACTAATGGAATAGACTAGGATTCATATTCCATTACTGCTTTAGAATAAGTAAGCTTTTTCAGAAGCATTTGTCTAAATATAGGACACTTATTTTTAGAATGGTACTGGTAAGTGATTGATGGTTGGGGGTGCAGATCTTCAGCTGGTTTTTGCATTCTTTGAAATAATGGAGGGACGTAGCGGTTGTAAAAGCTGACGGCTTAATAGGCCCAAAATTCATCTTTATTTGCAAATAGTTACTGCATTTGTTACAAAACAAGTTTCTGCACACAGCCTACTTCTAATCCTGAACTGCAGAGCTCGCCTCCGAGGCCCGCGGACATAGCTTGGTTGGTGCTCCTTCAGCCAGTGGCAAGCCCAGTTCACGAAGTCCCGCAGAGACCCCCTGTCGAGCACGGCGCAATGAGACTGGGCAAATCCCAGAGCTTTGCTTTGGGATTCGACTATGGGGGTTTCGGGTCGTCTTTGATTGAGAAGATGCTGCTCTAATTTTATGAGAGAGCTTTTTTCCCATTGTTCAGAAATTCAAGATGTTCACTAATAAGAAAGTCTATAAATGGAAAATGCTTTGCTCTGGGCAATGAAGCTTATTTTAGCTGAGGAAATCTCGGTTTTACTAGCTTGTAAAACTCCTAATTGGTGTTACTAAATCCCAGCCTCAAATGAAATACAATAATTTGCAATGAGATTGCCTGAAAATTTGGCTTCTAAACACATACTGTTCCCTTCCCCCTTCTAATTGCTACATTTCTGTATTTTGGTGTAGAGGAAATTATTTGATATTCTATAATTATTGTCTGTGCTGTACTTGGTCTAGAATAAAACCACATGGATGCACTTGTTTCTGTCCTTGTGTTGTTTTTAATGAAAGATAAGAAACCTGAACAGGTAATAAAAAACACTTTAGAAGGTGTTCTAGCTGGCCAGTGTGCATCGAATGTTGTGCTGTTTGGTGGAGAGAATTTGTACAGGAAGCGGGTAGACTTCCTTTTCCTTCTAATGCTAAATACCCTTCCTCAGCCATGCCTCTGTGGAGTTGAAACTGTTTCTTGGGAGACTGGATATTTTGGTAACATCTAAATGCCTTGAATGAATTGGGGCCTTATTAGTAAGTATCATTCAATTAAGGAATGTATTCCCTTTTGGCTTCCTAAAGTAGGTGACTTGAATATTTCCTTAAATGTTAGCAGTTGTCCCAAAGGAATTTCTATCCTAATAAAAGACGTGGCATTGACTGTACTTTAAAAAAAAAAAAAAAAGGAAGAGGATCTAGGATAGCAATAAATATGTGCTTCAACTGTGATAGCATCAGCAAGTCAACCTCTGCCTGTTCAAAATGCTGAGCAGATGCACCTCCTACAGCCATGGCCAGTGTGCTAAGGCCCGTACAAGGCCAGGCCATCTCCTTCAGTTTGGGCCGCAGCCTAAGAGCTGGCTCATGGGTGACGCAGCCTTACGCATGGCACACGTTTAGAACGGAGAGCAGAGCAAGCCTACCTGAGCTTTGGCTAATTTGGATGGGTTTTAGTCATGCCATGTTAACACTTTCTATTTACCAGATAATATTTATTTATTTATTTATTTTTCTATTTACAGAACGGAGAGCAGAGCAAGCCTACCTGAGCTTTGGCTAATTTGGATGGGTTTTAGTCATGCCATGTTAACACTTTCTATTTACCAGATAATATTTATTTATTTATTTATTTATTTCTATTTACCAGATAATTTTTTTTTTTTTTCCATGTATCATTAGTGACATTTTTGCTGTCTGATCCCTTCATCACCAGCCGGGCTGCAAGTAGGGTAGAGCTGTCCCTAATTTTTTATATATGTGTATTTGTTTGTTTATTTTGCAAAAAGCATTGGATAAGCTGATGAAAAAACTACTATTAATTCTCAACCTTCAATTCTGCGTATGAAATAGAGCAGGTAAGGGCTGCCCAGTATCTTCAGTGATTCCCTGGGTCATGCCTGTAAAAGGTACAGGACTGGTTATATTGTGTTCGTTAGGAAGCAAAAGAGCACAGATGTATTAAAGCTTGAAAAAGCAACTTGTTTTCAATACATGAAGGGTTGTCAAGTTACCACCTTGTTAACGGGGGGGAAGAGAACCTGTGCGCAGTCAGCCTGCCAGGCAAATCAAATTCTAGCGCCTTGTTATTCCTGGCACATTTTAATAAGCAAAGAGCAGCTAAATAATGTATTGACAGTCAGGGCAATTACATACACACAATTTATAGCGACATAACAAGTCTGGGGCTTCCTCCCCCTCCCCCTTTTGGGACCAGGTTAACTGTTGAAACAGTACAAATGGAAAGCCCAGAAATAATGTTCTGCAGGGGGAAAAAAAATGAGGTGGGGCTAGGAGTTTGCTATACATGGAAAAAATTGTATGGATTTGCAAACCAGTACAATAAATGGTCTAGCTGGCAGGCATCCTTTGATTTTAATTTTTGTAGCCCCACAGAAAAAGCATAGCCTACTTGTGCAGGTGAGATACAAGACTGAAAAGAATGCTGTTACGTTATGTCCACTGCTCCTGGCTCTGATAACTTGCCCTCCCCCTTTTTGTGTGTGTGTCTTTAACCATCTTGTTTCGTGGAATGCACTGGGAAGCATCACCGTAAACCACGTCAGGGCTCCGGCAGTTTGGAAGTCAGTGTCCGCCTTGATCTTTGAATATAGCTTCAATCTGGTCGTTGAACGGATTCTCCTTTCCAAGCACTTGAGGCCATTCATGTAGTGCCTTCTGCCAGGTAATGCTTGTTCCAAGGGCTGCAGCAATCTGCGAACAGCACAAATACTATCAATTTCTTGTGCCTCTATAATGTAGCTGTTTCATACCAGCACTGAGGAGACCCCACCGTAAAGACGACTCCCCTGCACAGCCACGTGATGGACCGTAACCTCTAACCAAAGAAAGTACCCCATTCCAGCCGCTTGAATGAGGAAAAATCCTTCCCAATAGTAAAAATAAGGTGAGGACTATGTATCTGTATGTCCCTGACCAGTCATTCGGTCTAATGATAGTCTCCAACCACTTCCTGATGCCTGTGATGGCTCGTCCATAAACTTCTATTCAAAAGCCCTAGAGAGAGATTTCCACCCCCACCCCCCACCCCCCAAAACATTTTGAAAGTATTTCAAAAGCACTGCTTGGATATAATGCATAAAACTCTTGCAAGTCAAAAGGAGTTCATGCTCCTAAATGCCTCTGATTCTTCTAATAAATATACTCTCTGCTATCCTATAAGGAAACCACGGGTGTTGAGGAAAAAGAGGCCCAGTCATATCTAGGTTCAAAACTACCCAGCTCTGATGCTCTAAGTTCGCGCCTGCTGCTGGTTGTCTTCAGAGCTTTTTTCCATGAGACCTGCAGAAGTGGTAAAATAGCTTTTCTCCTCGCTATCAGAACCACTCTAGCTTTCATAGAGTTTTTGCCCTAGAAGTTATGCGCTGAAGAGAAATTGTATCTATCTGCCAGGCTGAAAAACAGCAGAGGTAGGAGAAAAGGGAAGGGAGAATAGCCCGATTCCCCTTTAACCAAGTTTTCACACCCTGCTAATGCATTTTTGTTTTAATTTCTGACCCACAATTATATTCTGCTTATATGGTAACTTCACTTTCAATCCTAAAATTCAGTCTGACATGGATTATAACTTTGAGGCTTAAATAGAGCTAACAAAGCCTTTTTATTAAGGACCAAGATGGGTTTATGAAATCAAACTATTTCAATACTGATGTTTCAGAGTTTGGGAACAGACTGGAGCCTTTGGAGAATTTTTATGCACTTCTTTTTACATCCTGTGCTTTTTGAAAGAAGATGTAATCATGGGCTGGGAGACAACAACTTTCTTTTATTCAGAGCTAATGTACAAAGAGACACTTTTGTGGGGTGGAAGCTCTTAGACTCTAGTCACTCAAGGTCTCATTAAGCTGATGGAGGAATTGGGGCAGGGGAGAGGGATGGGGAGATTGTGCAATAGGGTGTTTTCTCCTGGTCAAAATTTCTAACGTGACTAAACATGGTTATTCTGGGATACCCTATGGCTGCCAGAGGGCTGAGACCTGTCTCTGTCAGAGCAGTCCACTCTGGCATGGCAGTCCGCAAACCTCCTTCACAAGTCCCTAAGCCATATGTTTTTTTGGCAGGGTTGGTTAGTTGGTTGGTTTGTTTAAAAAACCCTACTATCTTTGCATGGTGAACCCTCTGCAGAAGTATCACCAGAGGTATGCTCTACAGTGTTCAGTCTATTGTTGACTGCTATTTAAGGCATATGTGCTTAGACTGCCCTAAATTATGCAGGTCCTGCTCAGACATCATTTTGTGTGGTCCTGATGATTTTGGTAATTTACTCTGGATGAGTAGTGTGGCACAGAGAGAGTTCATGATTCTAGAAATCACTTTTCTTGTAGGTCTTTTCTAAATTCCAAAGCTTTGAGACCTGCTACAATTCCTATGTTTTTTGCAATTACTTTTTTGTGAGGACGACAACCTCTAAGCAATTTTTTAAAGGAAATATTATCAGTTCCTCATAGAGCCCTGAGTGACCACAACTGGGAGGCAGCTGTGTTTTTTCAGCAGCTTCTGGCTATCTGTTTCCTCCTTCTGCACCAAACTGGCGATGGGCATGCCTCTCAGCAAAGTGTAAATACCCAACTAATCTGATATGTGTCACTTCAGCTTTTTCTCTTTTTTTCTGGCTGGAATGTGCTTTGCTATGTCTTAAGGAAAGAGAAAAGGGAGAAGCTAATCACGCTCAAGCTGTGCTTTCCTGCCTGTACATAATCATTAAGAATCTTCCAAGCGTCTCAGGTTCCAGTTTGTGATGTTCAGGGCTTTCGCGTTCTCCCTGGTAACTCCACAAAAGCAAGAAACGAAGCCGTTTGTGCAGGATCCTGTTGAAATGCATGGCCCTGTCATCCAAACAAAGAAATCAGCTGTTCTAGAGAGAAGTAACGTCCTTGAAGCCATCTGGCACTCAGAACGGTTTGCAGTGAGATTTTGTAATAAGGGAGAGATGCTGAAAAAAAGTCCTTGGGCTTCCACTATAGTCAATGGGAAGAGAAAGTCAGAGCTCTGCCAAGGACAACCGAGCCGGACTTTGGGGAAAGGAGTCTCAGAGACAGCTCTAGAGGGAACTTAGGAGGATCGAGTGATGCATTTTGGTTTTAGGTGTCAAAAGTAAATGGTGTGAATTTCCTCCACCTGCGGCCTGAGCTGGGTGTTTTAGAAAAAAACCTCATGGGGCCCAATTTTAGCTTTGAAACTTAAGAGGAATGCAGTTATGCCAAGAATGAGTGTCTTGTTTGCAGCCTTCTGTTTTGCAACAGGTAAACATGCAGAAAAACCCCTTCCTCCCCAAGAAATTTGTGGTAAGGGAATGTAGTTCTGGGCCTGGCTAAACAAATGAGCACTTGGTGTTTATCCCTTCTTTGAAGGGTTATCAAATACAAAATACTGCCTGGAGTGGGGACTATGGGGCTAGTTTTTCCTGCCTGAGTGTCCTAACCTAGCCTTTTTCCAATGCATGAAAAAACAGAATAGCTCTAATGGGACAAAGGGAGTGTTGCCTTTTTTTCTTATTTTCTTTTCCTTCTCTTTGCAATGATAAGTACGCAACTCTCAGTTAGGGAGGCTCAATTCCCTGCCACATCCCTCCTGCGTGGTGGGACCGCTGGACTGTTGGATATACATGCTGACACCTGCTTCTGCCGTGTTTATATCAGCAGATTTTTTTTTAATTAAAGAGACAGCAGATAAACGCAAGTGAAATCCAGGGGCTGACATCAGACAACGGCTTAACCTGCCCACTGCTGTATCATAACAATTAGGGATGGTGGTACCCTTCCAGCTCACCCTTGGCAGAGCGCGGCACTGCGGTTCTTGTATCCCAAACTCCAAAGTTTCTCTGCATCTGAAGGCAAGAGGTAAAATGCTTATGCTTTCCTTGGAGTGCTGCTCCATTAAAAAATTTGTGAATATTTGTCGAGCGCTTTGAGATCTTCAGAGGGAAAATTCAGTAGAAATGCCCAGGCTAGGTCCTATCCATCGTGTTTATTAGTCAAGCTGTATGTGAGGCATGGGAAATAGCTGCAGAGATTGAAGTAACAGCCCCCATTCACTTGATAAGCTGCACGGCATCAATCCTCTCCCGCTAGGCAGCTCTATATGGTATGAAAGCCATATACCTGGCCAGAGGCATTCATTCCAGTATAAAGTAAAACTTTAAATAAAACTGGTATGAGGAGGGAGTGAATTGTTTATCATCTCTCTCAAGCGTCCTCTTAAATACCACTCTCTGCTCACACTTCCCCTTCTTTTTATTAAGAGAGCCACTCTTTTGGAGCAGAGTGCTACGTCTCAGTCCAAACAGTGTTATGTTGATAACAGACTTCCGTATAGCACCAGGAAAAGAAAAATGGGTTTAAAGCGGTGGATGTTTGGATAAGGCTAATTAATAAATCCTAAAAGGGCAATAACTCACTTGAAGTGAGGCATATCTACAGCTGGCACCTTGACTGTAAGGGAAAATGTACCTATAAAAGCATTAACGTCATCCTAACAGCAGGAGGGGGAGATCATAACCACTGCAGGATGCCAGGTCCAGAGGGAGTGATAATATGGCAGCGCTTGGCTGGATCCTGCAGCTTGGCACCCTGGGGGCTGCGTGGAGGTTTGCAGTTGCCCTTCAATGCCCTTTTGTAACTTTATTTTGGCTCAGGCAGGATCCCTTTAAGATAAACACTTGATCCCTTCAACTCTGTGCTATCTTCCAGCTGCTGGTGAGATATGGGATGTGGGCAAGAGCCTGGATGAAAAGCTGTGATACGGCGAGCTTGGCTTCCTCGGTGGCCTGTTGCTGGGGGTTATAAGAAGCCTCAAGCCAGCCTCAGGGTAAGACATAAAAATAACGCAAAGACCTTTTCTTCTTCACTCCAGACTCTTCGTATTGCAGTTTCCCCAGATGGCAGGGTTGGGAATGGGGTTCATTTCATCACTGTTTTCACTCTCATTTCATTTGCCAAGTTTTCTCTAATTGCTTCCTTGCAAAAGGCCTGCAGCAAAAAATCCAGACACACTTTCTCCACGTCTCCAGGCTGTGAGCTCATACTTTCATGCAGCTACCTCCTGGTACTGTTTGGTAGCCAGGCAGGAATTTCTGCTATGAAGCCTCTTCGAACAGGAGGCTCTTTTGACTTGACAAGGCTAAGCAAGCCACCGTATTGCCCCAGTTGACCAGCAGGGGTGTAAAAGATAGCAACTAAAGCATGTATTTTGCCTTTGGACTTCCCCCTGCAGGTCTCCCCTGGCTGAACTGACAGCAGTCAACGGGAAAGCCACCGAAATGTTGGAATCTATCAGTGCTTGCAACACACGTCTGTTGAAGTGCTTCTCCATGGACTGCTCTTTCCCAGCATGCAAGACAGCATTGCATCAGGTTATTTGGTGATGGGGGTGTGGGAGTGAATATATGCAGGGTGTTAGCTCACATCATAAAACCAGTCCATAAATTCACCCTGTGCTTTTGAGCAGGGGGAGCTGCCAAGCAGCACTGCTGGTGGCTGGGCGGCGCGGCGGGGTTCTCTTGCATGGCTTGGTCGTGCTGGGGTGGAAGAGAGTGTGCAGCTGGGACCGCAGAGGAAGGCAGCGGTGCCCTAGAAAACAGCTTTCTCCAAACTGCTCTCACCATGGCACAGAGCTGGTATCATGCACCATGAAAACATCACCGAGGAACGTCACTCCTCCTTCCTCCCAGCCGCCGCCCAGACCTGTGCCCCTGGGCAGGGCAGGGATGTTGGGAATGGAGCTGGCAGCTTGGAGAGCACATTAGCCCAGCCTAATTCTTGCTCCAAAAAGTCAAGATTGAAAAGCATGGGAAACAGGAGTGGTCTTTGTTTTCAGGACCTGCCCACTGCCCCATGTTGCCTTAGCGGCTGGGGCTGACCGTGGTGTGGTGTGGAGGAGAGCCCCGGCTGGGCTATGCCTGCCAGTGTGAGCCATTGCTGCTACAGGCTGCACACGGGATTTCAGCTCGCAGTTTTTCTCAGGGCGGTATGGGGAAGACTGGCTGCTGCTTTGCTTTGTATACGTGTTTGAAATCTGAAGCTAGTGTATAGAAAAGCAATTGGCTTTGTTTGTAGCTCACTGCAGAACATGGTCTCTTCAAGCCTTTTAGAGAGTCACAAAAAAGTACTTTAAAAGCGAATGCAGTGGGAACCGGGCAACCTTGCACTTGGTTAGCAAACCCAACCTAGGACTTACAGCGGAGCAGCTCCTTCTCCTTCCCTTTCATTTATTTCTGACTGTAAACCTTCCCCTTGGACGTCACCCGTCCTTGGAGGCCAAGCAAGTGGCAGAAGACTTCGTAATATGTAGCCACAGAGCATAAAGCAATTTAAATGTATAGCTTTGAAAAGAAAGCTTTGTTCCTCTGAGTACCCCTGGCCTCAGAGGTTGAGGCTGCGGGGCAGGGGCAGGGGCTGGGCTGGGCTGGAGGGGGCCTCTTGGGTTTTCCCAGTGCTGCACCACTGCCCTGATCCTGCAAAACTCCCGTGCGTGTCTGAGCAGGCAGGTAGCCAGCCTACGCAGCAAGGGTCTGCTTTTGTGGTTTAAGCCCTGTTTGGCCAGGGTACTGGTCAATGAGTAAAAGAAAGCAACAGAAGACCTTGCAGGAGTTACAGCAGAGTGCAGGCGGCTGAAACAGGGACATCTGCTCTGGGGCTAAACCTATCATCTCTTTTAAAAGAGAAACCCCCCAAGCCCGCATCCCCACAGTGGTCCGACTGGGTGCCTCGGGCGGCGGCGGGCGCTGGCATCCTGCCTGCTCCTGCCCGTCTCCCGGGGCCGGGTTTTTACCTGGCTGGGGTGGAAGCCATCGACTGGTTCGATCAGCTGCCAGGGCTCGCCTCCCATCTTGTGCCACTCCTCAGCCGCTGTGAACAACGTAAGCAGAGGGGTTATCACTGGTGAGCACGTAGGAGCCCGCCCGGAGATGTGCCCTCCTCTTCCTCAAAGCGCTGCCGGTATTTTTAAGCACACGACGGCTCTGCATGAAGATTATGATAATTCATATAAAGTTGTCAGAGCCAATATTGTGTACAACTATCTCTCCTTGGGGCAGTATTTAAGCCTTTATTGTTAAATTTTTTTCTCTGCGATATTTATGCAAGGAAGCGCTTTGAACATAAATGATCATAAAACAATTCACTTTCCCTCCCAACTAAGATGGATGCTGTAGCAAGTAAGGCTGTAAATTATTTAATACTGATTTAATACTTTTGCATTTTCCTTTTTAGTTGCATCTTCAGCAGTGCAAAAAAATAAAAGAGAGAAAACGGTGCTTTTTAGAGAAATATGGTAACACAATATTCGCATGAGCTGATGTCTGCAGGAATAGACTGTCATTTTCAGTTACTTCTCTTCTGAGCGGTCTTTTTCAACTCCAACAAAATAACCTTTTGAATTACATAAGCATGACATTCAATGCAAATGATGCTGTGCTGTAAGCCCCAGAGCCATTAGAGAAGTAAAAAGCTTTCTCTCTTCAAAAGGGCTGTGGATTGATCAAACATAGGACTAGTGGATATGGCATTAACAGACTGTAAATTCAATAATTTCTTTTATAATGGCAGATTAAGAATTCTTAATAGCATTATGCAGGCGTCCTGTCAGGAGGAAAATGTTCTCCATTCAAGCACCACAGTTTTGACATAGACTCACCACTGTTTGTTGGACCCTGGCTACCATGTCAAAAGTGATGTCTGGGTCCCCATACTAACTTTGAATTCACAGAAGGGCGATATTCCTGCTTTGACTATAGCAACCTACTTGAGACGCTTTAGTCACCCAAAGTAACCTGTTTTCAAGACACAGGGCTTGGAGCTTTGTTTCAAATTTGCAATATGTTGGGCACAACACATATTCACCTTAGATTGCACCATGGAGCGCACATACAGACGCACAGAGTGAGCTTGCCTAATCCCTTACATATGATGTTATACATTGAGTACGAGGCTGTGTATTGCATTTTACTTTGTAGAGGGACTACTGTTCTAGTGCCAGAAATAGAGGAGTAAGTAAGATAAGTAAGGTTTATATCAAGGTAGGTGAATTTAGACCATTATACTTGACCTCCAAAAATCCTAGAGCAGTTGAACAAATACCCACTAACTATGTCCAGAGTTTGTCTTAAAAGTGCCTATTGCCTTGGCTAGACCAGACTAGAGCTTGCTCCCATCCGCACCAAGAAAAAGCCAAAACAAGCAACCCCTATCCCTCTACGCGTTGCACCGCTTCTTAAAGAAACCACTAAGTTCTTCAGCCAAAGGCAACATCTGAGCTTGAATGCCCATCTAAACCTAGAATAAATGCTAGTATACTCAAATTTTACTCCAAGAAGGCTGGGAGCTGCTAGGTATATATATGCCCAGGCCAGCCTGAAATCAATGTACTCATCACAGTGTGCAACCACTGCTAAATATTTGATGTCTAGAGAGTTTAGGGGGGGATATGCGCTTGCTTCAGAAAAAGACCAGAAAAGTAGGTCAGCAGCCTTAGCTGGCTTTTCAGCACACTCACGACCTGACAGCTTTCCTGACGGGAAGCTCGAATTGTTGGCTCCAGGGCTACAGGAAACTTTGCAAAGTGTCTTTCAGAGCTGATGTTTGTATGTGCATGTGTGATTTTGTTTACCTCATTTATTTAACGCGATGTAATCAAGAACAGCAAATTATATTAAGATGTTTCTTTTCATGAAAGCAAATAAATTACCTAAAGTTAGTAATTTAACTTATTAAAGTAATTTGCCTACCCAGCAGGTAGTTTGTTCCAAATCCTAATGACTTGTTAAATATTAAGTAGCTGAGGCAAAAGCACAAAGAGACTTGGACATCCTGAAACTCTGTGCTACAATATCGAACTTGACAGTGGAGCCCACCCCTCTGAGATAAAGTTTTGGACAGAAGGATTCCCTCTCCCATCCTCTCTTCTTTACCTCCTCCTCCGTATGGTCTGCATGAGACCCAGAACCAGCTTCCTGAATTGGGTCATGTAGGATAAAATAAGTTTGTGAATTTTGATAGGATTTGGCTGCAAATGAGATTTTTGCAATAATCTTAGGTGCCTCGGCAGCTTCATGCTTCCAAGGACAGCCAGGCACTGATGGAGAGAGGTGTTAGAGATATACACTTTGAAGTAGTGCCAGGGTGCTTCTATCCCTTCATGGCTCCGGTTTTGGCTGTCTGCATGCTGGGATTTAAAATACAGTCCCCAGGCAAAATTTTTCAAGAAGGACCAACATGGAACTACCTCTCTATGTGGATATAAAAACAAGGAAATGCAGATCAGGGTTTTTTTCCAATTATGATATACTATTTTTGGAACATAAAAATTCACACTGTCGGGGAGGGCCCCCAGCTGGCCAGGGCTGGAGCTCCTGCCCCGTGAATGGAGGCTGAGGGACGGGGATGGGAGAGCCTACGGGGAGGTGATGAGGATGGGGCCAGTCTCTTCACAGCAGTGCACAATGGGAGGGGGAGAGACAACGGGCGTAAGTTGAAACATGGGAGGTTCAGGCTGGCTACAGGGTAAAAGCTGGTTTCCTACTTTCCCATCACTATCTAACTACTTGAATATGTTGCCCACCTCAATCCCTAACCCCATGCTGATTCTTTTTTTAAAAAGAAAGGGTAAGTGTGTTTCTCCTTGCGACGGAGCTGGGCTGATGCTGGGTGATGCCTCAAGCTGGACCCACCACGCACATCTCGTGAGGGAAGTGGAGCCGAGAGTGATCCAGGGACAGGTGTCTGTCCCCAGCCCCACAAGGACACTGTCCACTCATGCTCACACTGACGAGGAAAAGTTTCTGGTTCTTTTATTTTTTGAGTGTCAATTGCAGAAGGAAGTGATTTAGGTAATGCGCTTACCTAATGTCACTTAAGATCACAGAAGGACGAGTTTTGTAAGCTCTTCAAGTCAAAAGTTACAGTAGTATGTAGGTGCTTAAGGAAGCATAGGAAAGAAGCAAGTTCCTCCTGGGAGAGGCGCTTCTACTTTTGAAAATAGTGAGTTAAGAGAGGGTGGCTGTGTTATTCAGGCAGGAAAACTGGCTGAGAAAAGGTTTCCTTCCTGAGGCACTGCTCATCCCAGAGGAGGCAATGTGAAGCCCAGTCAGTGATGCAGCAAACTACAACTCATGAAGACTACATTCACCATTGCAGATATGCTATCTCCAGCCTAGATGACCCCCTATAAAAGCAATGATCAAAAATAAAACCAAATCTTATGGACCAAGATAGGTTTGAGATTTCTTTTTTTCTTCATCAGCCTGAGAAGCTGCAGTGGACAAGCAGGAGGCGTTTTTAGCAGAGGCTCAACTGCTGCCCCTGTCACCTCACTACCAACACCCCCTGCCACCCATGTGCAATATCTCCAGCCTAGATGACCCCCTATAAAAGCAATGATCAAAAATAAAACCAAATCTTATGGACCAAGATAGGTTTGAGATTTCTTTTTTTCTTCATCAGCCTGAGAAGCTGCAGTGGACAAGCAGGAGGCGTTTTTAGCAGAGGCTCAACTGCTGCCCCTGTCACCTCACTACCAACACCCCCTGCCACCCACGTGCAGATGGCCAGTGTGCTGCGCACCGGGGTTGTGGGTGCCAGCAGCCAGGAGCAGCGGGGAGCTCGTGGCCCCCAGGCTGGTGATGGGGTCTCACCTTGGTAGAGGTCTGCAGTTACCCCAACCAGGGAAGCCAGGAGATGGCATTAAGGGTCCCCCTTTGGCCCCAGCCCTGCCAGCAGGGTCACCTGGGCTGGCTGGCTATGCTGCCCTTCTCCCATTACAGAGCTAAAATATGAGGAGCATATCAGCAGCCCAGCACTTCACTAAATTCTTCATGAGAAAGACAGGAAAAAAGCAACTTACTTTGTCTCAGTGGGAAATCCATGTAGAAAATATCAAAGTTGGCAAATTTCTCAGATCTCGCTATTTCTTTCAGGACATTGGAAAGTTGTAAAGCTCTCTGCAAAAATCAAGCGTTTTAATGATGATTCATTGCTACTCATGCTGCTTTGCATGGATTCAGCTTTTGTCACCGATGCGCTGTCAGGAATTTGAAAGCTCATGTTGCCCTTTTAGCTGGGGGAAAGGAGGTGAAATGGGGTTCTTCATCATAACATAGACTTGCATGAGCACCACCAGCCTTTGGGCTACCCAGCTCACCATGCAGTACGTCATTGCAGGTTGCACTGAGGCCTCGGCTGGTGTAATAAGTTTAATACAGCGTATGGTTATTTTACTGGAGACCTCTTTTAGTAGTGTCTCTACGCCTATATAAATATTCTGAATTTCTCAGTTTCGGAGGCCTCTTGATGAGTGGCAGCCCAGTCATTTTCATTCCTCTTAAAGAAAACTGAAACTTTTCTACAGGAAAAATGTTCTCCTTTCCCATTTTCCTTCCCGCTACTGTGTTGCGGGTGCTAACGCTTATCTATCCAGACCAAATTCTGCCCTTACTTTCAGCAGCGTAAATTACCTCCATTGAGCGTCTACCTAACTGATATATCCAGTGTGGTTTCAACAGCCGTAACAGAGATCAGGATCTCCTAAATATTTAAATTGCGCAGTTTGGATAGTAACATAGACAATTAGTTTCAGACAGGGGCTCAGAAAGAAGATTAATTCACACCCTGCAGACGTATGAATTGTTCATGGACAGAAGTTACGTGTACTGTATGTTCTGTATTGTTGGTACGAATATATAAGCTGCAATTCTGCAAAGATTTAGGAATGTGCTTAATTGCCTTCTCTGAAGTCAAGAGGGACAGGACATAAAATGAAACACATATGTAAGCCTTGGTGAAATTAAGGCCATATTTTTTGTTTAGTGAATGCAAACATTAATACAACCATACACAGAGATTACACCTTTGACGATATTTGGTTACTGGCTCTTTTACATGGCTGCAGGCGGGTGCTGGGATTAAAAATCAGCTTGTACCGTAAGGGAATAAGTGGGTGATATTATGTGACATTCACTTCTGCAGCCAGATTTTTAGTGTGAGTTTTAAGACATCTCTGTTCTGTCTGTTCCCATTCCTGCACTGAGCCTGGATGCTCCTTGGTCACACCATCTGGCGATTAAGTCCACAGAAATGTGTCTGAAGAAGATTAACACAAATCCCAAATGAAGACAAGGTAAGGCTCTTGCTCTCGGGGCCTGCTCCCGCTGCCAGCAGAATCTATGCACTTGGCTTTTCGTACTCACAGCTACTTGATTCACAAGCCTTTTCCTTCTCGTCAGGTACGTTTTCTCCTTAAAGAACATGAACCTGAACAGTTTTATCTCAGGGAGATCATATCCCTTGAGAATAAGTTTGGGCAGCTGAGAGGTTGGAAAGAAAATACATTTATGAAACCCTTAACTTAACCATGCTGCCTCCCAGAGCCTGAGAGGCGTTTGAAAGGATGGGTACGGATGTTTCCGCATCTTCTCCCCACCTTTGGAAGAAAAAAGTGTGCTGATGTCTTGCCTTTGAGGTATTAGGCTTATATCCTCAGACACAGGGACAAAGTGGAACAGCGTCTGTGCAAGAGGGCGGTCCCATTGCAGCCTCGTCGAGACTTACCTCCGAGGTCAAATTCCTGAGGGTCTCGTTGGGGGTCAGCCAGCCGCTGCAGGGGCTCACCTGGGCAGGCACGGAGAGCAGGGTTTTAGCAGCAGGCCGAGAAGAAAGAGGGGCTCGTAAGCTACAGCCAGAGACCTTACCTGGAGGCAGTCGAGGAAAGAATAAAGTTGTCTGTAGGTGATGTCCCTGTTCAGCTGCCCTGCAAAGCACAGAGGGAAACTTCATGTGCCTGATGGCCAAATGTAAGTTCATTTTGCAGGTCTGTGCGTTCCCATGCATTAGACCCCTTGGTGGGGAGAGGCACCCCTGGAGCCCCAACCCCCCCGAGGTTACCCCCCCGCCACCAGAGTCGGGATGCAACAGAGGTGGCACCAATGCATCCTTCCTGCTAAGGCGCCTGTATCCCCGCAGCATGCAGAGCTGCTTTTGCTTCTCCAGCATCCCTCTCCGGCCTTTCACGTGGGGTTAGTCATCACAGCTTGTGCCAATCTCCCAGGTGCGTGACTGATATTTTATCCATTTATCCGTTAACGTGTCTCTCAACCTCCAAACAAATACAGAGCTTGCAAAGCCAAAGGGAAGATTGGAGGTGACTGTATATACCCTGAGCTTCGCATTTACCTCGGAGATGTTAGCCTTAAAAGGGAGGAATAATTTTGCTGTCACGGAGGGAAGTGGATATGCTTGTCTGGGTGAGCAAATGCAAGCACCAAGTCAAACAGCCAGCTGACGTTCCCTAAAATTCATTGCGCTATGCACTAGCCTGGCTTGCCAAGAAAATTACCCATTTTCTCGACCTTTTTGCTTCTTTGGTAGCTACAGCCAAGACAGAAATTAAATGGCCACTCAGTTCTCTGAGTTTGTAGTGCACTGATCATCCTGTCAGGCTTCGTTATTTTTTGCAGTGCTGAAATATGAAATTTTTGTTGTTGTTTTGGGAACTGCAAAGTATGATCTCTCCCAAGTGAAACGGGCTCCTCAGGTTGATTTGCAGCAGCTCCCTGATATAGATGTAATTCCTGCCTATCTCATGGCTGCCCGTCACCCAGCAGCACTATCAGCTGCCCGAGGAGCAAAAGATGGGGAGCTCAAAGATCTACTGTCACTCCCGGATATTGGTGGTGTCCCAGACCCATGTAGCCTGGCAGCATCGGGCCCTGGGATGGGCTGTCAGGGGGACCAGGGATTCGGCAGAAAGCCAGACCGACATCTGGTGGCACCTGACTGGCAGCCAAGTGGGGAAACCTGCTCGCAACCTGCCGGAGGATCTGCCAGAAGTGATCTCTTGCTACAAAACGCGTTGCTTAGGATTAATTGGGTCCCTCCAAGGCAAATCAGCCCCTCTGAAAAATTTCCAACTGAGCCTATAGCTAATCATTCCCGATTTGGCTTGTGCCAAAAAATGCTATCTGTTGTCTCTGATAATTAGATATCCAGTAGAGTAACAGTCCCTGTGATAAACATGCACTCAAGGGAAGAAATGTATTTAAGTGACTAAAAAATAATTATCACAGGCTCCCCCTGCCCCAAAAGGGACAAGATTTTTCTTTTATTTTTCTTTTTTCTGCTTTCACTTGATAATAGTATAGTGCTTATTAGAGAAAAACGTAACAAGGTATCAGGAATAGAAATGGAGACCTCAGAATTCCTGAGAAGAGGCAAGTACTTTTGAGGGGTGAAATAACCAGTAGTAAATAATGCAGAAGCAGTGGGACCACTGGCAGTGATCGGGGAACCCTGGGGAAACCACGGCACAGAGTCTGCTGAAAGCTCTAGTACCCAGTGGTTGCCAAAATCATCTGAAGATGTCATCTACCATTTTAATTATGTGATGTAGCTTCTCTCTCTCTTTACTGATGAGAACTAAGGTGACAACAACTTTCCATTGTGCAGATGCAAGAGAGCTTTCTTTACCCAAACAAAAAGAAGAACATGCTTTTGGTCTAAAATTTGACAGCAGAATGGCCATGATGGTTCCTTGTACACACATTTGACTGGAGAACAAGAGACTTACTTGTTTTGTATTTCTTTTCTACCTGCATAAAATATTTCACCTTTTTTATCCACTGCGGGGTGGTATGAATTTGTAGAGAAGGGGTTCTGCAACCAGCTTCCAAGCTTCCCCACCCCACAACCTCCCATGTCCTCAGGGAAATGTTTCCACACTGACCCCAGAGGCACAGCCATCAGACTAACCAAGGACATCACACGTCATTGCGTGCGAATGCAGCCCCCTGTGATGATGTTCCTCCTTGCTGCTTGGCACAGGTTGAAGCCAAGGAGCAAGTGGTCTGTTGATGGCCAGACGTACGGTTTCATGCACGCTCTGAGATGACAGGTTCCCAAAGGCAGCCTCCAAATCTCTGAAAACACTGCCCCAAAGCACCTTACGGCAACTGCACTCTGAGGGAACGCCCCAAAACATGCCTGCACATGGTGTGAGGTTTCAGTCATCACACCTGTAGATAGGGTAGGAGGTGGCAGGCACCCAGCGCTTGCGGAAAATTTATTTCTCTAATATCTAGCCAGACTTTCGCAACCCCCTGACTTAATCTTCTGTCCTGGCCCACATCCAGTTTTACCAAGGCATCCACCAGTCAGTGAGTGGAGGTGTTCACCAAATGTCCAGCTCCACCCGTAACAACAACCAGGATGAAGTGCAGGCAGGCCAGCCACAATTTTGGGTCAAGGTTGAGGCAGAATAACTTGTTTCCATGTCCACAGCATGTATTGAGCCTAGTTTGGAGCTGAGAGGGTCTGGCTTGGCAGGGGGATGAGGCAGGTTAGGGGTCTGCCTTCTAGCTGCCCTGTCCTGCACTGGGGATGGTAAGCTGGCTCTCCCACTTCTACTGCACAGCCAATATCTGTCTCATATTTCTCAGATCTCCTCCACTCTCTCAGGTTTGCTTGAAATTGTCAATAGTCTCATAAATTATTCAGGGAGAAAAGGCAACATGAGCAAGCAGATAACCAGGAAGACCCCTACAACATCTCATATTTACCTAGAGGATGGTATCTGTCATGCAGGCTATCCCAAAGAAAGCGGCCATCTACCAAGCCTGTTAAAATCACATGGCTGCCGTTTGGAAGACGGGAGTCCAGGTATCGCAGAGCTTGCACCACGTTGGAGAGCATTTCCTTGGGTGTAGTCATGTGAGCCAGCGTGTCACGGTTCCTGCAGAAGAAGAGGATGCCAACAGGACATTGTGTCAGGTAATACTGTGCCCCCCCAAAAGGCACCTGAAACAGCAGAATTTTCTTCTTTGCTGTTCTTCCACGTTAAGTTAACTAAATAAAACCTTATAAAAATGATGCTATGTGTTTTAGTCTCTCATTGTTATAGCCAAAATCAGAAATGGTATAGAAACCTCTCTCAGTGTAACCCTTCTCCCTGCTAAAAACAGACAGATGCATCCCTTTTTTATAGAGTGGCCTCCTGTTGTGGGTTAACCCCAGTGGGCAGCTAAGCATCACAGAGCCTCTCGCTTGCTTCCCCCCCACCCCCAGTGAGACGGGGGAAGAGGAAAGGAAGAGTAAAAGCAAGAAAACTTGGGGTCAAGATTAAAAAAAAAAGTTATTGTTCAATAAGCAAAGAAGTGGAAGAAGAGAGAAAGCAAGCAAAAGAAGTGATGCAAAGGCAATCACTCATCACCTCCCATGGGCAGACCAATGCCCAGCCAGTTCCTGAGCAAAAGACAACTAACACCCCTAAAAATCCCCTCCTCTCCCTTTTTATTGCTAAGCATGATGTCACATGGCATGGACTATCCTTTTGGTCAGTTTGGGTCATCTGCCCGGTCGTGTCCCCTCCCAACCTCTTGCGCACCTCAATCTATTCACTGGGGGGCAGAGTGAGAAACAGAGAAGGCCCCAATGCTGTGCAAACACTGCTCAGCAACAGCTGAAAAAGTGTATCATCAGCATTGTTTTGGTAAAAAATCTAAAACACAGCACCATAAGAGCTGCTATGAAGACAATTAACTCTATCCTAGCTAGGCCCAGCACACCTCCGTAAAGAAAAAAGCTTTAGCTCTCCTGCTGGTTTTATTCCACAGTTTGCAAATGAGTTAGTCTTTATTTACAGTGCAGCGAGGCAGATCAAAGCCATGAACCATGGTTTTGACCACATTGGTTTCCCATGGTGTTAAAAAATCCGTGTAAAAGTACTCTGGTAACCCTGGCGCCTCGCTCTTCGTAGCTGTTGCAGAGCATCTTAAGCCACTTGATACAAACCCAGGAACTTGCCTAGCTGTAGTCCTTAAAAGTCCATGCTTCTTTTGGTGACTGCAAAGACACTGCCCTTGGTGTACTTATCAAGCTCCAGTCTGCGACTGACGTTCGACTGATCTAATGTCTACCTCAAGTTTCAGCAGGAAAAGGATCCATTGCCCTAAAGGGATGTAGGGTGCTGCTGCACCTGGTTAAAAGCTTCCATGGTTCGGCTCTGAACAGGAGGAAAGGGTGCTGCACCACACACACGGCTTTAGGGTGCAGGATGCCCTACAGACAGGTGAAAGGAGGGCTTCTTTCCCCATGGGTTGCTGCATGTAGCTTACATTCAACACGTTCTTTGATTATGCCAGGTAGAAATATCTAAGGTAGCTTTGTCTCTCACATGTCGTACGCCTCTCACTACAGCTCAGCAGGTGGGCAGGAGAGTAGCGAGGGGTCTGGACAAACATGGGAGACTGGAGAGAGTAGGTATTTAAGATAAAATAGTCCTCAGAAATGTTCATTAGGGCACAGGAGCTGTGTCAGTGTTCAACATGGACTGAATGCCCACGTTTTGTGGGTCACTGGCAGGCCTGAACCTCTTCAAGCCAGAGTCCCAGGCTCAGGTTTATCTTTCCCCTCTCGCATTTAGCTGTAAATGCCGCGGGGTGGGGGAGAATAAAATCCTGAAGTTGAAATAAATTTCAACTTATATAAGAAAAACAAACAAGCAAAGCCACCCCAGGCTGCCTAGAGAACACTGCTCTAGTTATGTTATTAAAACAACCACTTTATTACAGAAAAAGCATTCAACCACTCTCCCCCCGAGAACTGTTGCCACACTCTCATGTTGCACGTGTCTATAACAGGCACTATGAGCAAGCGGGTGAACGCTGCCCCAAGGAGGCTGTCCCATCCCAGCAAGAGAGAAGAGAGGATCCACAGGTCTCTCGCACAGGGGAGACCCCAGCTCCATGGGGCCCCACTCTGGCAACACCTGGGGGGCAGAGCAGGTCCAGCTCTGGGGAAAAACCTCCTGTTGTCCAGAGATGTCCCATTGCCCTCTCTCAGAGCGAAGAGTCAGTGGGATGGAAAGAAGGACGCCATTGCGTGCTTCCACAAACCCCAGGCAGCTCCAGGGTAGCCCGGCCCCCCCTGGGGCACATGGAGCAGAGCATGTAAATCCACATGTCTTTTAAATACTGCCAGGGATGGTGACTCCACCACTTCCCTGGGCAGCCTGTTCCAATGTTTCACCACTCTTTCAGTAAAGAAATTTTTCCCAATATCCAATCTAAACCTCCCCTGGCGCAACTTGAGGCCATTTCCTCTCGTCCTATCGCTAGTTACTTGGGAGAAGAGACTGACACCCACGTCACTACAACCTCCTTTCAGGTAGTTGTAGAGAGCGATTTGAAAAGAAGCTGCCTTTTTTGAATTGGGAAAGACAATAAAGACGTGTGTTTGCAACATAAGCTCTTAAAAGAGCCACCAGAAATAGCAGCAAGGCCACCCTAGCCAGGATTTGGAGCACATCAACATGTGCAGCCATGCATGGCATGGACCATTCACCTTGGGAGGCAGGCTCTTGTGACAGTTTTGGTCCTACGTTGGTGGTGCAGCTCAGCCAGACCAAGGCTTTCAGAGAGAAAGCCTCAACACCTGCTGAGGAGCTGATCTCATTGCTCAAGAAGAAAGATAGGGGGTGTCTTTCCAAGTGGTGCATAAGGTTGCACTAACGTCCATCCTTATTGTTTTAGCGGTTCCCACATTTTCTCCTCATGGGTTTGTAGGGAAGCGATCACCTTAGCAGCCAGGAGGCTCCATCCAGGTCCTTTCCCTGGGAAATTCCTTTAATCTCTTTCATGGCTTCCCAGGGGTAAGAGAAGGGCAAACTTGATGCTTGCAGTGCCGAGTGAGCTGCTGGAGAATCAGGTAGGATTTCTTGTCAGTGAACACTGTAGAAGCAGGAGCTTTCAAAAGTGTTGTTGTTCTGTCTCGAAGCATTAGAAATGTTTGTGCTCGGGGGCGGGGGGGGGGGTGGGGGTGCTAAGTCCCA